ATAGGTAATGCTTGCCTTTAAAAATTATATACAGAGGTATTGCCTACCTATCTGCGTTAATGCCTATAATAACTGTTACTTATTTATAGTTACCTAGCTGTATAGCCTTTAGCTAATTACGTTTATCTATGCCTATAACAACTATTTAGCTTAATATAACCCTTATTTAAAAGCCTGTTTTATTAAAATTATACATGTCTTAATTTATAATGCTGTACTTTAATTATGTAGCCTCTACAAGCTTAAACTACTTACTTATAATTGCTAGATCTTTGCATTTTATTTATTAGTAATTATATAGTTAGCTAAGGTAAGTTTTAACTACTAGCGTACACACAACAAAGTTAGATAGCTAGTTAATACCTGCTAGTAGAGCGCTGCGCTTAGTAAGAAGCTTGTTAGCTATCTCTTGTACAGCACCTAGAGTAGGCGCAAATCCTTAGGAATCTAGATTAAGTATATGCTTAATAATTACCTTCTCTTCTAGCTTTGTAAGCTTCTTGTTGTTAGCTGTACAGTCGCGTTGCATAGTTATCCCTGCGCGTTGTTGGCAGAGAGCTATTTAATTAACATTATAGAGTGCTGCAGCGCGCCTCTTAGTTAAAGACGTGTCTTTATTAAAAGCTTAAATAGCTAGGTTAATTCTAGCCTCTTTTAAAGATAATTAATTGTATAGTTGTTAATGCATTGCAGTTAGTAGTAGGTTAGCTGCGTTTTAGTGGTGGGGCGGAACACTCGCTTGTGTTGAACATTCGCTTGTGGACCATGTTATTTAATCTTAAGTAGATATTTAATAAGAAGCTAATTCTTACTAACCTAGCTAAGATATATCTTTCTAGGCTTAGCTTCTAGCTATAAGTACCTAGACTTAACTAGAATAAAGAAAAAGGGTTTAGAGCTAACACTAAGGCCTTTTATTATTACGTAAACTACCTAGATAAGGAATACTTCCTAGGTATTATATCTACTAATAGTAATTCTACCCTAGCCCTAATACCTATATTTACCTACTTAATATAGATAGGCTAGTCTAGCACGATATATAAAGAGTATAGTAGGAAAACCTTAGAAGGTACTTACTAGAGAGTATTTCCTATTAAAGTAATTAGTAGTATAGAGGGTAGCTATTTATTATAATATCTTACCTTCGAGTACCTTTAGGGAACTCTAATAGGGGTAATATATCTTCTATAAGTTAGGGGTTGTCGGAGTCGGGTAAACGAGGCTAGGTACTGCAGGTGTATAGTCTAGAGCAGCTAGTAAGGTCGACTATTAGGGTAGGCGAGGTATTGGTTAAGAAGTAGTTATAGATAGTTTATTCTATATATAGGATAATAGGTTACATAGAGAAGCTTCTAAATAAGAAGGATATTAAGGTAGATTACTCTACCTTAGGCGTTGCCTTAGAATTAAGAATAACTATACCTCTCCTCCTATTAAGAAGTAGTAATTATATACCTCGGCCTTTCCTAGCATTACGTACTAAACTTGTTGGTTACGTAGTAAGCTTATTGTTGCGTTTGCTAAAAGGTCAACCTTCTAGCTAGCACAGCAGAAGGATATATATAGACGGATAGCTGTACGCAACACACCCCCTAGCTTAAACTGTAGAACAAGAGAGGTAAAACATAGTAAAACAACCTTAACATACTCTCTCTAGCCTAAGCAACAGAACTTAGAGACAGATCTAGTAAGGTAGCCTCTGTAATAGACGCACTGCCTAAATGCTTTTGCTAGGCGTAGGAATTAAACACGCAGTGCTCTAGGATAATGCAATTCTATTAGTAAAGCAGGGGTGTGCAAATTTTTAAGCGCTAACTATCTACACTACGCTGCAAACTAGGCTTATAACTGTTGCGTTTGCTAAAAGGTTAGCCTTCTAGCTAGCACAGCAGAAGGATATATATAGACGGATAGCTGTACGCGACACTTATCTATATATTCATGCTTATACACTAAGCTATACTAAGCTATAGTAAGCTTACTAGGTAATAGGTAAGTTAGGTATATAATGTTTAGGATTTCCTTCTTCTATTAGAGGGATAACTATTAGTTACTTTACGCAAGAGTTTAGGTAGTGTAATACTATCTGTAATATCTACCCTTCTCTTCTATAGCTTTATCCTAAAGCTACTAGTTACAACAGCTATACTGCTTATAAGGGGTGTCTATTTCTATAGTATTTTATACTTCTCTTTCTTTTCTTTTCCTGTTTTCTAATATCTATCTAGCCTTTAATTTAAGTTTATTATTTACGTTGCTATAAGCGTCTTTTACTCTATTAGTAATAGATGATGTTTCTCTATAGCCCTTATACTGCTGCTTCTAAGCTATATCTTCTAATCCTTTTATTAAAATTGTGTATTTATTATATATAGCTTAGTTTATCTTATAAAGTTTTTATTTTAGATATAAAGTAGTTAGTATTAGAGGCTAAGTACAACTAACTTTAGTAGGAGTTATAGGTAGTAAAAAATAAATATATTAAACGTAAGTATACTTAATAGGTAGCTTAGCAGGCCTAGCGTAAGCACTGTCTTACTTATAATACTAAGAAGAAAGAGCTTAAGTAGGTTTATTTAAGGAAGAAGGCTTAGTTTAAGTAGGCCTAGCGTAAGCGTTGCCTAGCTTATAAGGCAGAGGAGTCCTAGTTTAAGTAGGATCTTAATAATATTAATACCTATAATACGTCCCTAAGTCCTATTTTACTAAGGTAGAGGTAAAGGGTTTTTTATATACTAATAGTAATAGTATAGCTATTAATATACTTAAGGCTTTATCTTCTTAGGTTTCTTAAATACCTCTACAGCTATTATATCCTTCGTTAAGTAGTACTATAGTTCTTCCCCTTAATTCTACTAGTAGTAGCCCTAAGTAATTAAGGTTACTATCTTCTAGGTAGTTCTAGTTTACTACCTCTATTGCTCTAGGATCTCCGGAGCATGATATAGATAAACCTCTAGCTTCTATAAGTTTTCTCTAATAGGCTATTCTTTCTATTTTACTAAATATTCTTTTATACGTCTATTAGTACGTTCCCTAAGTATTTCTTTAACTTTATATTCATAGTCTTTTCATTCTAGTATCATAGTTTATAGAGAAATTTCGTAATACATAGGTTCTAATAGGCTAGTATAGAATACTAGGTAGACTTTTAGTATCTTAGATAGAGCTTATAGCTAACTTCCCTAGCCTCCCTTTAGACTTTAAAGAGCCTGATGCGTTTAGGTTCTAGCTTCTATTCTTTCCCTTTTTATAAATTCTTAGTTAAGAGATATATATAGTCTCCTAGCTAGTACTTAGGGCCTTTAATACGTTTTCTATTTATATCTTTTATTATTTTATTAGCTGTCGCGTATACTAAGAGCCTTGACTGGGGCTTAGAGCCTGGGACGCAGCCCGGGATCTGGAGATATTATGTTCCGAAGCTCAGTGTATATAAGGAGAGCCTTCAGCTCTCTTAGATAGTAGAGTCACTTCATCCGATCTTCTAAACAGCTACTGCTAGGCTATTTTATCCTCCACAGTTATAAGCCTGGTTTGCGGCGTAGTGTAGATAGTTAGCGCTTAAAAATTTGCGCACCCCTGCTCTACTAATAGGAACGCATTATCCCTAAGCACTGCGTGTTTAATTCCTACGCTTAGTAAAAAGCATTTAGGCAGTGCGTCTATTACAGAGGCTACCTTACTAGATCTGTCTCTAAGTTCTGTTGCTTAGGCTAGGGAGGGTGTGTTAAGGTTGTTTTACTATGTTTTACCTCTCTTGTTCCACAGTTTAAGCTAGGGGGTGTGTTGCGTACAGCTATCCGTCTATATATATCCTTCTGCTGTGCTAGCTAGGAGGTTGACCTTTTGGCAAACGCAACATTAGCTTTTCTTTTAGATTCTTATGCAATATCCTAGTAGATCTACTTTAGCTTATCTAGTTATTTCCTAGCCGCTACTATTTCTGTAGTATATTATTCTATTATATATAGGTCTAGTTTATATCTATAGTTAGTAAAAAATAGGGTTTTATTAGTTGTTATAGATTCCGTAGTATTGAAAGCTAATTAGGTAGAGGGTAACTATTTTACCTAGTCTACGCTACCTATTCCTAAGGTTTTAGTAAACTTATATAGATATTCTAGGAGTAACTAATCAGTTCGTTCTATCTATCTATCTATCTATAGGTAATAGGTGTAAGGACGGGGCTCCGCACCACTCCGCCAATACAAACAAAAGGTACGAATAATCAACCAACGGTTGATTTTCGGGTGCAGAATAGTATATATACCCGTCGCACGTAAGCGCCATCTCGGTCTTACAATAGGCTATAGATATCTTGTATTTAATTACTAGTCCCTTTATAATATCCTACTAGTTCTTAGCTATAAAGAGCTTGTCTCTATCTAAGATAATTGTTTATAGGGGTCTGTAGATACTAACGATATTCTACTTAAACTTATCTAGTAGTTCTTCTATAACTAGTAATTTTTCTAATACCTAGAAGTACACGAACTTCGTGAATTTACATTAGGCTACTACAAGGCATGAGAAAACGTACAAAGCGTACTGATATTCCATTGTTGATAACCCACTTGCTAGAGTCTACTTGAAAGAAGGCACTCACCAGGCTTTTAAAGGAGGCTCTTCCTCACTTTACAGGCCCTATCGTTGGCTCGAGGTTTGCAAGGCTACCCCCCTCCACATTCCAAGTGTCATGAGCCGTCAAATTCAGCTGTCCACCAAACACTCAGCCAGATCTGACCGGAATTAGAAGAAATTTCCTTGGTTACTCATGAGTTACTTGTAGCGGTTTCGGAATTTGCCTCTTAGCAGGCCAAGATCCAGGCTGTTCTATATGCATCGACAAGCGCTAATGCAGCCACAGCTGAACATCCACGGCTCCCGCAACATGCCGACACTTACAGCATATCCGCACTGATGGCAGAATATCGGAATGTTGGATCTGATCAATTGAGCCTCTTGCTGGAATTACAGCAGACATCAACAGGAGTCCAAATTTATGTCTATATTACTTCCCTACCATGCGCAACTTTTCAACGTTAAGTAGAACTATTCCAAAGTCGGTATAAAGGGTAAGAGACTCATGAATCATTTTCAGGCGCTATCGAATACAAAATGCTGATTCCGTTGAATGTCCATTCTCGCGTGTTTGACTAGTTCGAAAATGCCACACGCTGTGGTATCTCCCTAATCTACTTACTCCACTATCGCAAGCCTTGAAGCTATATTCGTACATGATGGATACCTACCCGACCTATTCAGGTCTAATAAATTATCTGTAAAAGCCCTCCTCTCCACCCCCAACAGGCGCACTCGGTGCCTGGCCTCCTGCTGGGCGATAGGGAAGATAGTTCCCTTGAGCAGGTGGAGGACTCGACGTCGTTCCAGGTGGTGCAGGCGTGGCATGACCTGGTTGTTGTGGTGGATACCCGTACGGTTGTGACATCGATTGCGAATATGGGTCTGATGGAGACTGGTGTTCGGGAGGGGGCTGTTGGTAGGGAGAAGAAACCTGCTCATATGGATTCTGTGGGCCTGGAGGCGGAGCTTGCGGAGGCACACTCGTGGGCTGCGGATAAGCACTTGGTGGCTGCGTCGATGGCGGGTACTCATAGCCTTGGGGTGCAGAAGGAGCAGCTTGATTCTGGCCTGGTTGAATGAATGACTGGCGATTGTCTACTGGCGAGTCGTAGTGTCCGGTAGCAAGTTCTTGAGGTGCAAAACTCTGTGGTCTTGCAGCCCCAACCCTTCCCTGTGGCGGTGCGTACGGGTCTTGGGATGGAGCAGGCTTTGGGCTCTGCTGTTGAGGCCGCTGTTGGTTTGGTGGGACCATGAAGAAGGCGGGGTTAGATCCGGGACCGTTTTGCTGTGCAGGAGGGTACTGAGAGGGTGGCTCTTGCGACGCAGCCGGGGGCATTCCGCCATAATTATAGCGACTTGGTTCTTGCTGTGGGGGTGGAGACGTAGGAGCGTAGCCTGGATATGCGCCTGGAGGTGGAGCATTATAACCATAAGGGCGGCCATACGCAGGTTGATGAGGTTGGGACATTGACGCTTCGAGGAGTGATTCGTAATCTCGACGAGCCTTGATGAACTTTTCGTTCAGCTGTGTGAAGTCGTCTAAGATTTACGTTAGCCTCAAGAAGATAATCCAAAGTAAACGTTGAATACCTACCCTTCTTTTGGGAGTATTTCCCAATCAGCTCAATTAGCTTCGGTCGGATCGCTAGCGTCGAATGATACAACTCCGTAATCTCCTCATTGTCTCGCACATCGCCTCCACCAGTCTGTGAGCTTGTGCTCAATAGGGCAAGCAGCTTCTCGACATTCCGGATCTGTGCAAACACTTCCGCTTCCATCTGAGCTTCCCTCTCTAGTTCTTCCCTTGTCGGATCTTGCAGCTTTTCTACATAATTCAGTGGGAAGATACCAGTCTGTCCCCGGAGCGAGCCCTTCCACCAATCCTTATATACCGACTCTAACACGGCAATGATATCTCCCTTTCGGAACTGTAATTCGCCTGGCTCGGAAGGTTGGAAGTCAAACAGAGCTCGTACCCGCGAGACAGTTGCTGCCGTGGTCCCCGAAGACACAGGCTGTGGGGTTTGTGCGGGCTGTGAAGCCGATCCTGACTCCTGAGGAGCGTTAGACTTTGCTGCAGAGGGTGCTGAACCTTTGGACTCCTTTATAGACATGGCTAGAGCCATCTGTAGTTCCTCCTCCTCCTTTTGACGATCAACGTCGGTAATTTGGGTTTTCTGTGGCTTTGAGGGAGGCCGAAGATTAGGATCTAAGCCTGTATCAGCACTAAAGTATCTTCACGCATATGCTGTCCAACATACTCTGTGTCTTGAGCTTCATATAGGCTCCTTGCATTATGCCTAAGTCCGGATCACTCGAAAACATCTCACTCCACTCAGCCATGCGCTCCAAGATCTTGGCCTTGACTTGCTGGTGGGTATTCCGGTCTGCTGCAAGTCTTAGAAGAGCGTCTGTGAAGCTTCGCGAAGCTAGCTCCTTGTATATCTTCATGCCGCAGTTTTGGCTTAGGGCATTTGCAAGCTCGAGCGTATATAGCTGGACGTTGGCATTACGATGTGCAAGCCGCTTAATCATGGCAGCGACGGCATCTTTGGCGCCCGTCTCTTCAGAGCCGACCTTATCACAGACATCCTGTTTGGCCGTCAGCCTAGCTCGGGGATTAGAGCAGGGTAGGGGGTTGTCGTACGAGTATGTATTCCCAGTTCTCACTCGTCAAGTTCTCGTCGGTGGCCTTGACTACACACGCCGTTAGCATGGCTCCATGTGAGTTTGCGTGAACGACGAAGGGTCCTCGCCATCGTAGCAGAAGATGCACTTACCCACGACATCATCGAAAGCGTTCTGTTGTGCGCGGAACATGTCTGCAGCCTGGTTGCTCCGGATGACTGGCAGCAACTGATACGTCAAACAATATGAGGGGAGAATGCGGTTGCTCGGGGTAGGCTGCTACCTGCTGTATGCGCGGACAGGTGGTTGTAAGTTAGCAGCGTCCTGGTGAACTGCGCCCGCTCCCCCACTAATGCGGTTTAAAGGCTTGGCGTGGTGACGAAAGCTGTGGCGTAAATCATCGGTGTTGACGAATCCCGTGTGTGGCGGACGTCGCGTGAATGAGGCTGGTGTGTAGTGAACGGCGAACTAGTCCATGCCATCACTTCAGGCTGGGAACAACTCCTCACAGCGCTGTGCTCTTTCACTGTGCCCTTCATGTGTTTTGCAGGCCTAGGTGAAAGCTGTCGGTGTAAGAGCACGGCAACCACATTACAGTAAATACGTGAGAATGGATTTTTGAAGACCGAATGCTAAACCAGAGGGATCCGAACTCCAGTTCTGGACTCTGAAACTTCCGATATGTTCGCTCTGCATACTTGTCGAGAAGCTAGGTGGTTGGTTTCGGAAGAAGCATCTTCTCGTATGTGTATTCGACTCGACTTTTCTGTGTGCCAGGAATGCCGCTCATACCCATCAACTCATGAAGCCTCCCCACGCTTGGGGAAAGTATAGACACTAAGTAGACAGCACCGACATTTCTTTACTCGTGCCGAAAATAAAAGAAAACAAAATGAGGAGACAAGACCGTGAAAATTCGAGAGGGAATCCCAAGTTGCCTACTCTCCCATATTTCCCTGCTCTGCCATGCCAAAAATACAGCCAATGACCTAACACGTCCACCCAAAATGAAGAAATTGTGATTGGCCATGGAATATGATTGGTTCGTCACCCCGGCCCGAATTTACCGTATATGAAAATACAACATTTGCCGTGATACAACCCAAGCCATGCAGGACTTGAAGATCCTCTTGCCTCGATAAGCCGAGAGCAGGCTTGTCGCGTGGCCGAACCAGGCCCTATTATAGGGAAAACAGAACCATAGAACGTAAAACCCCGAGCCGGACGCTGGAGCTGGCGAATGTGCAAATGCCCCATGTGCGGCTTGGAAGCTGCAGCCTGTATCCATCTTCCATGCTGAAAGGAACGCCAATGATGTGACTCAGTGTTTTGACCGCCATGCTGACAATTCTTCACCCTTCACTCTAGATGCCCGCCATCCGCCATGAAATAGACCCAGCTGTCAAAGGGCTTCGGACTCGAGTCGGTTGAACTGCTGCCGTTGCCGCTGGTCTGTGTTGTGGCCGAACCTATACCAACCACTAAATAAGATCTGATACGAAAGATGTTAGTGGCACATCATCACATACCGCCTTTCTTTCGCCTCTCCTCCGCTCTTGCCTTCCGCGCAGATAGCACTAGAGGTGCTAGCGTGTTCAACGGTTCCGCGATTTGGATGAATGGGTGCTGAATCGTCGTCAGTCTTCCAAGCTTCCAAGTTTCAGATCCGGATAACCGAATCACATATAGCAGGTATCAAACATACCACAAGGAGATCGTGAGCACTCGCCCGCTTGTCCGGATCTACCTTTAGCGAAAAACCTAAGAAATCGCGGAACACTGGGGAAAGGGCGTGCTCTTCCTTAATCGTCGGCGTTCCATTCGTTGCAATGAGCCAAAGAGCACGCAAAGGGCTCTCGTTGAGGTACGGCGGCTCTCCCTCGATCATCTCAATCGCCATGATGCCCAAAGACCAAATGTCCACTTTGCGGCCATACTCCTTACGTGTTACAACCTCAGGAGCCATCCAGTATGGGGTCCCAACCATGGTCGTCCGCTTGTTATGGCTCTCGTTGATTTGCGCGCAAAACCCGAAATCAGCTACCCATAATCAGCGATCCCCACCTACACACATATATGCATTCTTAAAATAAAGTAACTTACTCAACTTGATGTTGCCCTCAAGCGAGAGGAGAATGTTATCTGACTTGATATCTCGGTGAATGACGCCCTTTGAGTGCAGGTGTTGCAGTCCGTTCAGTGTCTTTCCTTGTTAGACTCGCCAGGGCTTGCAGTATTTGGGAACTCACCTCTCGACAAACCGCCGCAATCTGCCCCTCAGTCATGATGTTGAATGTGACCACATCCGTCAAGCTGCCGCCCTCCATATACTCCATGACAACCCACAAATCCCCTCTTACTAAGAAACTGTCCATGAAATTGACAATGTTCTTGTGCTTGCTGTCCTTCATAACCAAAATCTCATTAATAATTAAATCCTTCTTGGGCTGCTGCTCCAAATTCATCTGCTTAATGGCGACACATTTATTTGTGCCAACCTCATACGCCGTGTAAACCCCACCGGACGCACCCTGGCCGATCTTATTAAGATTCCGGTACCTAAGCGTCGGATCTGCATTCGTGCAAATAGCATTGAGTTTAGCAACAATATCTGGCCCTTGGCTTTGTCGAGGACGTTGGCGTGGCCGTGGGGCCGGGCCAACGCGGGGTTGTTGTGAGGGAAGAGGGATATTCTGTGGGTCAGATTGTTGAGTAAACTGGTGTTGTGGGGATGGCTGCGGCGGCACAGGGGTAGAAGGAGTAAGATGCTGCTGTGGCGGTGGTGCTCTCTGACTCACGCTTCTTCCCAATTGCGTCTGCTGCTTCACCGACATTGTCTGCTGAGCAGCAGCCATAGCTTGCTGCTGCTGCTGTTGATATTGCTGAGCAGGAGAGATTGCCGCTGTAGCAGAAGACGGGGAGTCGAAGCGGGGTGGAGTTCCACCGGTCGTGTTGGCCCGGCTGCGAGGCGCTGAAGGTGGTCCATGGGAGTTATCTGTGACGGTCGGGGGAGCGAAGGCTACCTGCGGGAACTCGTTCTCGTCGCGAGGTGTTCGAGCAGGCTGCTGGGTTATTATTGGGCTGGGAGCTGGAGGAGCGGGCCTGGTTGGGACAAGATTAGCAGAAACTGGAGCACCTGGTGGCTTCGGAGCCGGCCTGTTCGGAATGAGAGTGCCATTGATCGCAGGTGAGCCCGGAGACGTGATACCTGGCGAAGTATGGCTACGAGGAATCGGAGGAGGAGCACGCGGATTCTCAAAGCTGTCCTGATCATTTCGAGGGAAACGAGGGCTCTGGGGAGGACTGAGAAGCGGCTGTAGCGACCCGTTGTATGGGCTGAGGCTTGCCTGATACGCATACGCCTGTGGATGAGCTGGTCCCATCTTATCCCATATCGCGTCCTCACCATTCTTTTCCGCATTGTCCTTGTAGAAGGTGACGACGTCCATAACGGCCTGCGGGTGTTGCTTTTGCTCCTGCTCTGTGATGCCATTTTGCTGCAACATGCGTTGCCATTCCTTGGGCAGGCCCTAGACACGGTTAGCACGACAGTCGCAGGAAGGGGACGATAAGGCGACGGAGGGGTGAAGACGAAGACAAAGCACGCCAAAGCGACTATGCATGCCACAGCGCAAGCCAGGGGGGCGGGGGATATGCAGAGAGGCGATAACGTGTCACATACCGTATACTCTCCTGTCTTGTTGTCGATGCTGACGTGGGTAACGTGCATGGGGTTGGTCGGGGTTGAAATGGTGGGCCGGCGGGGAGAGCCTAGCATGCTGTTCATGAAGCTGGAGAAGGTGCCCTTCTTCTTCCCGCCGTCCGACTTCCGGTTCTTGATGGAGGCATCGGCGTCGTCGCTGTAGCGCTGGCGGGGGCTCTTGGTACCTCCGCCGTCGGATCGCGGGGGAGTGATGGTCTCCATCTTACGGGCGAGTGCCGTGAAGCTGGCCGACTGCCGGAGTTTGGGCGACTTAAACTTGGGCTCGGCCGTCTGAGCGTGCTGCAGTGGGGGACGTGGCGGCTGGTGAGAGGTGTTGCTGGCGGCGGCCGAATCGCTGATGTTCTCCAGAATGGCGCGGGTGTCGAAGGTGAAGGGTGCACCGACCAGCTCGGGCGTGGGGCGCTTGTCGAGGGACGAGGACGAGGCGGGCGTGGCCGTTCCTACATACGGTGAGTGCACGGAGCTGTTGGACACTTTGTGTCGAAGTGAAGACGTTGCGGACGACGCAGGCTGAACAGCGAAGGGGCTTGGCGGCTGGTCGGTCCTGGTGGGTGAGCGCTGGTGATAGCCTCCGCCGGACGGCGACGAGGTGAAGGAGGGATAGGTCGGGGCCGAGGGTGCGCGGCGGAGGGTTGCTTGCTTGGAGTTGTGGAAGGAGGCAAGCGGCTGCTTCTTGCGGAGGCGATTGTGCGGCTTTGAGGTTATGTTCTCCTCTGCACTCATGCTAGCAAGCCAAGTTACGCTGGCGCTTCGTGGGCTAACTGGGGAGCAGGCGCACGGCGGGAGCACAGGACCTGCAGGAGGGGGACGCAGCAATTAATGGCTGCTCCTATGGTTGAGCAGCGACGCAGTGGCTCTGGGGTGGGGGGGGAAGGAGACGGGGGGGACTGGGGTTGTTTGCAGCTTGCGAGGAGTGTTATTTTTTTTTTCAATTCAGAGGTCACGGATCCGAGGCGACTACTGCTGGGCCCTGGTTGCCCCCGACGTATGGATGAAGTGAGAAGACGTTAGACGCCTCTTCTCAGATGGTCTTGGACGACGACACTCCAGGGCTGGCTGGGCACGGACGGCGACTGCGGGCGTGCAGGCCTAGTCAGTTTTACCCGCAACGAAGCCTGAAGAAGTCTTTTCACGCGCAGCCTGCTCCTGCCCATCCTGTCCGTCCTGTCCGGCGAGCCTGCCTTCTTGTCAGCCTTGGAAGTCGTGCTGGGCCCGAAGTCGTGCTGGGCCGCTTCCTTGCTGGTGTCGGTTGCTGGTGTTGGTCGCTGCTGCCCTCCACGTCGTCAGCATTCACTCTCCACCACGTCAGGGCGCACAGCCATAGTGCATCACCGCATCTGCATCCGCGCTCAGCATCTGGCGTCATGGGAGGTCGTTTCAGATGACCTTCCTCAAATCTCCAAAACGGGAACACAGACTTCTTTCAAACGCTTCTGCAGACCTTCGACGCTTCCCTGCCGGCCCATTTTCATTTGCCGGCGCAGAGCCGTTGCGCGATTCGAGAGAGGCGAACGCGGTGCTCGTCACCAGCCGTTTGAGCGAGTAATGCAACCCTCCGAGTTTGATATGCCAAAACAAACCCAGCAAGACCGAGAAAACACGCGAATCGACCCGTGGACCATGCCGCTGCCGACAGGACAGCCAATTCCCACCACTTCTACATGTCCTGATGAGAAATAGTTGCGCGATCCGCCCTTCCCCTAACCCAACCCCCCGCAGCACTCGGCTTGTAAAGGAAATCCTGGGTCCAACAGCCACGAGTCGCATAGTATTAACTCTATTTGCTTTGTTTAAATTCAGCTCTCATAGAGACATTCGTCTTAACCGCGGGACTCCAAAAAGCAGGTACCTCACCTTGATCGCACCCCCCCCCCCGCCGTGAATGCTCCATCACATGCTCTTCTCCCTTGGACCTCTGTGCCACTTGCTGCCGTGATACAAAGTGGCATTCTCACACTTCCCGCCCTGTCTTGCAGCCACGACGTCACTTGGAAACAAAAGCAGGGCGGGACGGCTTCAGTTACTCTTCGCTGTTGCGGTTCGCTGCTTTCCTTTTTCGGAGAATTTCCAACCACCAATCTAAGCACTTCATCTGAAGCGAGATTTTAGATGTGGGACGGCATCTTACCATCCTGTCTGCTCACCAACAAAACGCCTCCACCGTCAAGCTCTTGCAGACATCGAGCTGCAGGTACAACTTTCAACGCTTCTCGTATCTTGTTTTCGGATTTTCACTTTCCCGAATAGGCGCACAACAGAAAAGCCAACAAGCCGGCTCTTGACGTCTAGTCCTGACTTGAAACACGCCATCAAACTCGTGAATGCCACGGCGGCTGTTGCACACCTTTCCCAGACCGATCAAAGCTGTCAACCTCAGCCAATTTCCCAGCATAGAAGACGGTGGCCAGTCTGAAAGCCTAAGACATCTACATCTCAACAAATGGACAGCAAGCGGGCGCAAGATTGTGTCTCCTTATCTTCTGCAAATGGGAATAAAGTCCTGAGAGTGCGAAAAGAAAGCCACCTCACCTTCAAATCTGCTGTTTTCACCCCGGCGGACTACCTTGCTCAGAATGGTAAGGACGTAAGGGGGTTTTAACAAACATGATCCCTCCCGCGCGGCTTCGGTTCTCGACCGAAGGCGATGCTGCGCAACCAACACACCACAATTGTTCGTCCAGGCCCTCGGTATTTACGGATCCGGCTTTAAAACGACCGATTGTGGAATTCACCATGAAGCCCGGCCCACCTAACTACACAGCACAGCGAAGGGTGGTATCTGCCACCCTAGAGGATTTTCGATGGGCATGAAACAAGGCGATCCCTTGATCGCGAGGCTGGGATCTCGAAGGATGCAAGTCTTGACGGATGGAGATTAGCTGATTCTAGATGTGATTGATGCATAGAGCTGCATTGGAATCTCCGCTCCTTGACTGGGAACATTTGGGACGATCGAGAGCACGAATTTGAAAACGCTCTGTCCTTTCATCAGACTTCTGTAACAGTAAGTACTTCTGTCGTTTGCTTCATCATACAAGAATCGAAACGGCTTCTCGTCTCGACTAGTCTTTTCAATCCTATCATGGAGTTCCGTGAGCCGAGGCCGCCAAGTAATGAGAAGTAAAAAGCTGCGAGGGGATCCATCTCGTCCAGTTGCTCCGTGACTCGCGGACAAACAAACCTCCTCCATCGTGACTACTGCAGCCCTGTGGAAAGGTCGGCGACGGCGGCGGGTCGCAAGGGACATCCCGCGCGCCAACCGTAATCCAAGATGAGTGAAGGGTCGATACGAGGCAAGGAGCGGGAGATTTTCACAACTCGTCAGCGCCAAATCCCACAATTTCTCCGGCCTTTCCCATTCGCATAATATTCGTAGTACCGCTCTCTAGACCTATCAATGCCACCAATCCTGTGGACTTAAGCTAAGTAGTGTGCGACTTATCCTTTCTCCCAAGTTCTTTTCTTTCGGTAGGAGAAACGATATGCCATGCCCATCTCATGCATGGCCCTATCCTCATCCTTCGAATTGTCTCCACAACTTAAGCAACAGGCTTAAGCGAGTCTCAACCCAGGTCCGCAACTAAAACATCCAGGTAATAGCTTACCGGCCAGCAACAGCCTCTTCGACATGGTCTCCCCTCCTTGAAGTTCTCAACGAGAGCAAGACCTCAACATCGAGCACAAGTCATTCCTTCTGGGCCTACGAAAAACGTTGAGGCATCATATCACTAGCCATGTATGTCATCAAGACTAAACCATCGACCTTACTACATCAATCTAGCTGCTGGGGCTCAACGGCGAAGGTGACAAGGAGCGTACATCTCTCGCACGGTTTATCCTCACCAGCACCGTAACGTAACCTCGGTAGGCCTAGGGCTACCTCCGCGAACACCCATCGTATTACGAGAGGGAGTCAAAACATCCCACTCGACTCTGTTGGTCCATTCTATGCCATTTCGTTAATATACAGGGAATCGCGAGAGTTCTCCTGTCAACCTCATCACCAAGTCAATTACATCTCAAATCGACTTGTTCATGAAGAAATACATTGCCGCACACCAGGCTTCTGCCATTCTTTTTTAATCCAAGCTCATTCGAAGTGGGATACGAATTCCCTACCCTCTAAGATATTCACTCCCCATGAAGACATTCACTTCCTACTAGGACACGTACTTCTTCTAAGGTATTTACTTCTCCGCAGTCTACCTCAGCCACCGCCCAGGATCTCGCTCTCGAACCCTTCCATCGCCTCAATCACTAGACTAGCCAATAACTTTCCATCCTCAGCGACGCTTCAATCACACCCCAGACTCGTGGCTACATGGAGCGCGCTAGCAACGCATCCATGCCACTGGATATCTATCCCAATGCTGCGATGGCAGAAGAGTGCATGTATGCGTTCTGCCGTGCGACATAAAACGAAGAGCCTGTACCTTGTGTAACTATAAGCCCTACAGTTGACTATAGAAGGTCTTCACGACCTTCCACTCGGTGGTCGATACTAGAGAGAGGTTTCCAAACGAAACTAATCATTAGAAATGTTCAGAACTCTGCATGCATACACTTCATCTACCATGCCTAACTGACACGACTTTAATTACCACTCCCAATCCCTGCCCCATCCCTGCCCCACCCCTGTTTCTCTTCCACCCTCTCTATCCATTCCAACTATTTCGAAAGCGCTCCTCTTCTCATTTAGACCTCGGGTGCGAATGATCGAATTCTCGGATTCCATTCCATTTCATTCCCTCTATCGCATATATCTCAGCGGGCAGGGTATTGTATTCGAAAGCCTATATACACTTCTAAGCCTCCTCCCAAATCAGCCCAACAAACATTCTCTTATGTATTCCCTGCACGGCCCTGCTACGCATCAAAGAACGCGAGCATGGTTAAGAAACACCAATGCCACCTCAACCGAACCCATTTCATGCTAATCATTCAAGCTTTCATATCATATTGCCATGAAAGGGACAATTCCCACCCATCCGAGGGAATGCTTGCCCAAGTCTAGAATCCGGAATTCAAGATATGTATAATGTGCGCACACCAACACTCCAGACATGTCCTATCGTTTTCGACGTCAAACCCCTAAGAACCATGAACATGTCATCTACACGTGTATGTAAAGAGAAAAGGAAAGAAAACAAGCAAAGAAACGGGTCATCTGTCCAAAGGGGCGAACAACCTTGTGTGGGAAGAAGGAAAATACCAAGAGAAGAGAAAGAAAAAGTTGGTCGGCCTAGGCATATGATTATCGTAGCTGTCATCATCTACAAGACAACAGAAACATTACAAACGCCGCGCTCAACAAGCGGATCGGTCAGGTCGGACGGTCATTCCGTCCATCCAAGTCCGGCAATAACGTGGAGGTATTGATGGATGGCGAAGTGTGGTAGCCGACCGATCGACATATTGCCTAAATCTCTCGCAAAGTGTGTGGTCTGTGGTCTCACCCTCGCTTACGGATCCAAAGATTCAGAAAGTCATCCAGATCGATACGCGAACCGTGCAACGCATCGGATCCGGGGACCAAATTCCGTCCACCATCCATCTTACGATGTGACGTTCGGATCTTCTGACGTCGACTGATTCTCGTCCTCGGATTCGTAATGAACATGTTTCCCCTCTGATTTCAACAGCCGCTCCTGCTCGCCCGGAATTTCCCCTACCTCATCTCCGGCTGTGGGGTTGTCGGACTCGACGGCGGCAGCTCTTACGTTTTCCGACGGATTCGCGCACAGCGGTTGACCTGATGGTACGGTATCTACCTCGCTTGAGCTCTTTTGGCCTGTATGGAACCAGCCTCCTCGTTCCCATTGACCTGGTTGGTAGAGGCAATCTTCACGGACTTTTCCGTCGACGATGGCGGTCATTAGCTCCGCCAGGCGAGAGAAAGAAATAGGTTTCAGAATCCAGGCATCGAAACCGGCGCTTATGTATGTTTCTCGCTCTTTCTCGACTAGAGAAGCGGAGACAGCGATGATGGGAACTCGGCCACAGAGTGCGGCGCGAGGAGAGAGGGTGTCGGGGTGGGTTTTCTCAAAGGAGCGGATCATCTTTGTGGAGGTGAGGCCATCTACGATCGGCATCTACGACGAAGTTAGAACGAGTTAAACAATGAGGCTTATGTATGGAGTTAAACTTACTTGCATATCCATCAGGACAACGTCAAAAGCTTGAGGTTTGTCGCCGAATGTCCCTGCACATTCTTCTCCGTTGATAGTATGGTGGATCTCATGTCCAATCTTTTCGAGCCTCTTCTTGAGGATCTTGCTGTTGACAGGGTCATCCTCGGCCACTAGCACACGCATGTTGTGCGGAGTAAGCAGATCCGGGCTGGGAGTAATCTGCTCAGGACCGTCAGGAACCTCTCCTAGAATTCCAGTCTGCGGCTGATCGCGAGAGGGTGATGAGCCAGACTCATCGGGGACTTTAATGGCTCTTAACGGATAATTCGAGTACAGGATGTGTTCTTCGCCAGGCGTGCTAGGTTCTAATGAACGCTGGTGAGGTGATAAAACCACTCCTTCGGCCATTTCTAGGCTCTTTGAACGTACTCGTCGTGGTGGATTTGGCTGCTCTCGATCTGTACTAAGTCGTTTCGTAAGGGGGGGCCTCGCAGACCAAGCACTGAGACTTCTTTCGCCGCTCTTTGGTCTTTTCTCAACCATGTGCGATTCTTGAATAGCCTCGATAAGCCGGTCGACGTCGCTCCTCTGGCTCTTTCCGCTGGAGCCACTTTTGAAGCTTCGTAAGCTGGTTTTGCTATTCAAGCTGTCTGTACTCTCTTTCTTTGCTACCTTTCCGCTACCAGAGCCAGTCCGTGACAGACCAGGAGCTACCAGTGTGAGCTCTTCCTCGCCCTGAAGAGCGGTTTCCGGTTGCGGAGTTATGCTTCCCTCTGGTGAAGGATCTGGAAACTCCTGGCCTGCAGAATCGGGGAGGTCGAACGGAAATTGAATAACAAACCGGGATCCTTTACCTTCTTCAGATTTGAGACGTAGCTGGCCGTTCATGTTCTTGATAATGCGAGCTACAACCGCCAAACCGAGACCCAGTGTGGTCTTTTGGCCTTCTTCGGCTGAACTGACTGGATTCCGAGCGATGGCACCCTCCAGCATGGCGGAAGGTTCGGACTGTACCTGCTCAAGATCGTTGAACAGCTGGTCGAGTTTCTTCGCATTTATGCCAACGCCGCTATCAGTGACCGCAACTTCAACCCCCACATGATCCTTTGACGCATAGGATGACACATACATCTCTACTTTGACCCCTCCCTGAAATGTCTTTTGGATGGCATTCGCCGTAATGTTCGATATCGCTTGGCGAACCCGCCGCTGGTCTCCTATACAAGTACGCGGCAGTCCCGAATGCTCAATAACTTCGTAAGAAATACCCTTGCGCTTTGCGTCTCCTTGGAACATGTCTGTAGCCTCTCTTAGTGTTGCCTTCAAGTCAAACACTTCTCCCTTAATGAGAGCACCCCCCTCTTCCGTCTTAGTGAGATCTAGGAGGTCATTGATGACATAAATTAGTGATTTGGATGCGGAATGCGATCTGGCCAAGTTCTCGCGTGTTTCTTGGTCCAAGCTACCCTCCAACGCGATCTCGAGGTAGTTGATGATCGCGTTCAGTGGTGTTCGTACTTCGTGCGCTGAGTTCGCGAGGAGTAGTCGGGTCAATTGACTGCTCTGTAATGCCGCTTCCTTTTGCCTCCAAACTTCAATGAATTTTCCGTAAACGAGACACAAGACTGCCGCAGTTTCGATTTCTTCCTCGGTCCACTCCCGGCACTTGCCCACAACAGTCTCACGCCACGTCTTAAAACTCCTTCGAGGCTCTAGGTATCCTTCTGTGCCTTCTTTGATGAACTTTTCGTACGGATTTCCCGCCCATTTGACTTCCTTGAGCTGCCCCCTTCTAAAGAACACAATGAAGTCGATGCCACCGACTGATAGAGGTACAATGAGCATTCCGGCAATTATTTGAAATCCTGGAGGGTACCGAAGATCGGGAAAATCTAGCGTGATGTCCTGTGAGGTCATGACTGAAGTAATTTTTCGCATTCGAAGGTATTCTAACATGGCGAGCGCCTCTTGCGACTGCTCCAGTTGACCCAAGATTTTGGTTTCATCTCGTATTGATAAGAGCCCAAAGTCGGCGTCAAAGAGCTTCAGTAGATCGTCTGAGGAGGCAATGATATATCCGGAGGGGTTGTGCTGGGTGGGTACCGTGTTGATTAGCTTTCTAGCTTGTAAACGAGATGCATAAGACAGTCTCTCAATATTTCTTGATGCGGAATCCCCAACGAGACGACACATCTTTCGAATGGGGAAGGAAACCCGCATTCCGTGCTGTCCATATGAGTGACACGCGATAAGACCCCAGAGCTCATTGAAGGCATTGATAGATATCGACATTGAAGATCGCACCGCCATGTTGGCGAGGTACTTCAGATGGATAGGGGACATTGCGCGGAGATAGGAGTGGGTAAGATCGAGAGGGTTTTCAAGATCTTCGGCGGTCCGACAGACGAGACGGGCTGTTTGCTGGTCACGATCGTAGAGCATTCGTACCCTGTTGAGTTTGTATAGTTCTCTAGCCTGCTTAGGGATATCTGATGCGGGGAAATTAAGCCCTTTGTAGAGGTCCTTGGTTGCTCTGGGATCCACCAGTTCCGTCACCACTCGCCCGTTGAATGCTTGGTCGAATTGATAGATCATGACGCGGTGGAAGCCCGTAAGTTCCTTGACAACGCCCACCAATACCTGCAGAAATTTCTCGAGGTTAGGTGCCGCTGCCAGTTGCTCTTGGACTTGGGACATGATATTGAAAACTTCCATTGCGGCTGCCTCGCCCTTGCGCTTTCTTGCGCTTCTTAGAATCCTTAGCGGCCGGCTCTTGATCTCTGTGCTCTCGGCAAATTCCTCCGCCGTTGGGTTGCTGTTCAGCGTGTCTTCAGGTAGATCAGGAGTATGGTCGTTTGGGGGCACGAGGGGGTTTATGGGGTCGTCTTCCAGCTCGAACTCGCATATAATTAGGCCCGGGTTCGTATCATTGATGTGCATTGCACACCAGAGCTTTCGAGACCGTGCATTTGGGATCTTGACAGAAATTGTGAAGACCTCGGGACCATTCGTAACTACGTCAGTATCCTCGTCCTTGATGAAATCGATATGATCTAGAAGATTATCGGCCTGCTCCACGGATAGAATGTCGGTGAAACTTTCCAACGCGAACAGATCCCTTGGTGACCGCCCGATGATTCTCTTGGAGTTTTCGCTGACGATGCGTACAGGGAGGCCGCCGCTCCCATCAGGGTCCTCTTGAAGCGCGATCAATAGGCCAAACCCTTGCACGGCACCAGGGATGTGTATAGGCTCGTCTTCGCATCGCTGTAGGGTTTCTCCATCCCGCCCGGTTATGACGGCGTGGCCACCATCTGTCAGCACGTGCTTGAAACGATGAGTTACTAAGCCGCCCATGTCTCCCATGCTGCTTTGTCCACTTTTCGCCGAGGACGCACCAGGCGAGAGTGGCCTGTCGAGCAGAAGTGAGGTTGCCCCGCTGTTGGCTGTGTCCCCACTTTCCCCCGATCTACTAGATATTATATCGCTGAAGAGTTGTGCTGACAGCCGCGGCGGAACCATTCTCGAGCTTTCGCTTCTCTGTGCCATAGCAGAACCCCTCCTGCCCTCTTGCGCCGACGATGCCAGCGCTTTTGGAATTGCATCGGGGCCTGCTGCGCTATGTCGAGGAGCGGGTCCCCTTTGAGATGTCTGAGATGAGTGGGAGGTCGTAGAACTTGCGGATTGACGACGAGCTGAGCTGGGCACTCGCGATTCAGAGGCTCGGGAGTATGGGTGGAAGTACTCGCCCACCCCTTGGCCTCGCTGGGTGGGCGTGGGCGTGGGCGTGGGCGTGGGGTCTACGGAAACGACGCTACGAATGGGGAAGACGCGATCTGTTGCGGAGGGGCTGAGCGAAGCCATGTCATTGGAGGGCGGTGTCACAGAGGAATTGATGTGCAGAGGAGAATTCTGGCGTGCCTTGGAAGCCGTGCTGAGCGAAGAGGGCCATGTTGTCGTCGAGGATTTTTGAATTGGCGAGGAAGGTGTGTTCTCTTTTTCTGCATTGTCGGAGGGGGTAAGGTCGGCAGCCGGAACAGATTTGGGTGATTGAGACATGGAGAAAGCGCTCGTCCCCTCTGGGCGGCGGATACGTCCGGTGGAGAGGAAGCGGGAGGAGGCCTTTGGGTGGGTCTGTCGAGCGGGTGGTTCAAGGTGGCCAGGGCGGAACAGGACAGAACAGAACAGAACAGAATAGAATAGAACAGAACAGAGACGGCTTGACGAAAACTATCCTAGACCACAAAGAATGGCCATGGACGTATGACGTTGTGTGAGACGCGCACAGCACAGGCTCCTCTGCTTCACTACTACTTGCTAGAATAGTATGAACGCTCGCTACGAAAACTTGGCTGGATGCAGGGAAACCCGAGGCACTGGGCTTTTGGTGTTGGACCCTGTGAACTGCGTCGCTCCGAGTGGCGTAGCAGCAGCAAGTGGCAGCGGTCGGAGACAGCAGCTCAGATTGAGGCTGTGGCAGGTGAGTGGGGGCTGGGAGAAGACTTGAAGGTTCGCGAGGGATGCCAACGTGATAGCGGCACGATGGAGTTAGAGGAGAACGGGCATCACAATCGTGGACAAGAGGGAAGAAATTATCACTGAAGGTTGCTGGTCCCCTCGACGCCAGCAGAGGTTAGGAATTGGAGTGGGTTCACGAATGGACAGTGTCATGAGCGAAGCACGCGGAGGGCTGGTTGTCGTTTGGTGACATTGGAGGAGAAGGGAGCAGCCACAGACAGTCGATGCAAATCTCCTGTGGCTTTGGGCATCTTGCACGTCGATGTCACTTGAAGTGGCCACTAGACGGACAAGGACACTTATCTGCGGGGCGATCGCCGCCGCAGGAAGCATAGCCAGATGGCATTAGGGTGAAAGCCGCTGAAACTTGCATATGACCCGAGCAACAGGGCAGGGTGAGTGTTGCAGGGGGTCAGGAGCGAGGACGGGGCTGATGAGATGCAATTCCTGAGAGCTGCTATGGGATTTTGGCCGGCGAGCTCGGGGTATTGATTGCGCCTCTGAGATAATGGGCTACGTCATGGCTATTGCCGCCAAGCTGGGGGCAAATGGGCGAGAATTACAGAACCCTGCGGGCATTGCAACCCGCTCTCCTGCCTCGTGAGAGAGACACAATAACAGCTTTCTTGTCGGTCCTCCCGGTGACACCGGAACGTTGGGAGCGCCTGAAGTGAAGCCCACCGCCCTCGCGATTCAAGTGTCTGTGGATACTGGCCACCCGAGTCCTGAAGGAGCGCCACCGTTATTAATAATTACGCAGGAGATGGCCATGGAAAAACCAAAATTCCATGTTGTGCTTTACCCACGTTCCACAGCATTTGCCCTGCAGAAGCCGCTTCAGTCCGCCCGTAGAAATCGGGGCCGATGAGAGCGAACGTGACCTCAGACTTCAGATACTGCACGACTGGAGTGAATCCGCCAGGCCCTACAGAGGACCGAGAATAGTCCAGCCTGCCATCCCTCCACAACTCTCCACAACTGATGCTTTGAAGTAACGTGCATGAAGAAAAACAGGCGTGGCTAATCGCGATTTCCTTTCACGCCACAACGCCAATGCACGCGCCCGCGCCACCCTTTGGGCAGAATCGGCTGGGGCGGTCAACTCAGATTTCCACAACCACCCCCACCCCACCTCAATTCTTCCCAATGCCTTCTCACGACCCTCCTAAGCGCTCCCTCAACGCCCTCATCGCCATTACTGATCCTTCATGCCTCAAGTTCGGCTCCTCAATCGTCGCCCGTCTCCACCGCCTCGACCATGTTAACCCCCAAATCATTGCATGTTACGATCTCGAGACCGCAATAAACGTCCCCTTTTCCCTCGAGGCACTTTGGTGCCGCTACTCCCCAAAACATGAAGGAGATGCTGAGTGTCGGCCGGAACATAGGGCTGCAAAGGCGGCAGAGTACTGCGCGTGGGCCGATTTGCTGGTCCTCGCTCCCTTGTCCGCCGAGTCCATTGCTCGAATGCTCGGGGGCTTTACAACAAACCTACACCTTGAAATTCTGAGGAGTTGGGATATTTCGAAGAAGATTTTGCTCATTCCATCCATGTCCTCGGCAATGTGGGAAAACCCCATGTCAAAGAAGCAGATATCCAAAATTCGAAGAAAGTGGAACTGGATCCGCGTGCTTCCACCATTCCTGTGGTCATTTGGCACAAGCGGCAGGAAAAACCTACCCTGGGAAGGTGCGAAAGCATTCCATGAATCTATCCAGACTCAGATTGATCTCATGGCTGTGGGCGACCGAACCATCACCTTACCAGTTGCTCATATGCCCGCCCTAAAGTCGACTAAGAGCAAGGGTCCGCGGCTACCACCAGAGCTTTGGTCTATCGTATTGGAGTTTACCGAGGATTGGGAACTGGCGACTACATTAAATGTGCACACAAACATCCCCGTCCCTCGGGAGTGGCGTCAGGCAGCGAGCGAGGAGGGCCCCAAAACCCCCATGCAGAAGCTAGAATGGACTTTGTTGACAGAACCTTACCACGAAATCAAGACCATTCTAGATGCCGACAAGCCTACGCGCATATCTCGCCTTTGCATTGAACTCATCATGCGCTTCGCCATGGTTCCAATCCTTGCGCACCTTGAAACTGTCCACAAAGATCTCTTCTGGGGCACCTTTGGCCATGCCTTCCTTCCACACAAAGCATCCGTGTTCGGCAAGACAGAAATCCTGGAGTACTGGCGAACCTCCCCCATGTTTCTCGCCAAAGAGTACTCCGCGGAAGCCATAGACAATGCAAGTCGCTCTGGCTCTGTGCAAGCCCTCGACTGGTGGTATGACTCCGGGCTTCCACTTAAATACACCGAGGCTGCGCTGGAGCAAGCAAGTTCGCAAGGACATATCCAGGTTCTGGAATGGTGGAAAGAACACAGCAGTTATCGAAGCGAACCAACATCGCCACAATCATCAGAAGATGGCCAGCAAGAAGAACCTAAAGCCCAGCGCGAGCCACTCAAACTCAAAGTTGGCAAATCAATTACGTACGCCACGCAGTCTGGCTCCCTCTCCTCCATCCGCTTCTGGGTTGAGTCTGGCATCCCATTTTCCCACGAAGACACCATTGCCAAACTAGCTTCTGCGCACGGACATACGCACATCCTCGACTACTGGCGCAATTTGCGGGGGGAGAAGATGCTGTTTGACAATCAAGTCCTGGTTGGTGCTACAAAAATGGGCCGCGCCGACGTTCTAGAGTGGTGGAAGCGCAGCGGCTTGAGGGTTGAGTACAAGACTTGTGATATCGAGGAGGCTTTGGAAGACGGGGTCGAGGGTGACATGGGAGAGGATGTTAGGAAGTGGTGGGCTCTGAATGGGTTGAATCTTGGAGTGGGCACGAGCGAGTGGATGAGGGTTAAGGTCTTGGGATCGTAGCGAAGGTAAATTATTTGAACAAGGATGCAGGACATTTGAATTGCATTTCTACCTGGATCAGAAGTCATGAGTATTAAATTAGGTTGCATAGCTAGGCGTTGTGCAGGTTGTAACTAGGTCTATTCTCCCCGGGCGGTGAACGTCGTCAAACTGCATTCTAGGTGTTATGTGATACTTCGGGGCTGTATAAATTAGAATCATCATAGCATCACAAGTTCCCTTTCGCTGTACTGTATCTTGCCACCCAACGTAGAACATGGCAGAGGTAATTTAGTACAACAAAATCCTGTATCCTATCGAAAATCTACCCATTTCCAGCAAACAGTCCAACAGACAAACTCCACCCTAACTATGTTCCAAGTTTTGCGATAGCATGCTGTATCAGAGGGCTGCCGGACCCTGAAGCCGTTCACTCAACATCGGAGATGATTCGGGGTGTCAACTACCCACTGCCGGCCTTCCCCGCACACTCATGTGGACGACATCTGGCTGCAAACGGCCGGGACGCGGAGTAGGTATTTCTCAACTAGATCATTCGATGCAGACAGACATGCCGTGAGGCCTAAATGCGTCACAGGGAAAAGTGGGTGATGATACCCGACGCCTGTGTAACTTCGGTGATGCGCGGGTTCCACGGAGTAGTTGAAATCCGGCACGTATGACTACCACATTCCCGTGAAGAAAACCCAGTGGTGGGGGAATGAATGTTTAAAGAGAGCAACGTGTCTTCAAACGTATTCGCAGTCTCGAACCGTTGCGCACAACCCCCGCTGTAAAAGTTCTCCTCCAGTCTCCCCCCCTCCCCTCCCCCACACGAATCAGGGTCTTACTTTCCCATTCGGGAACTCCGGCATATTCTCGGTGGTTCGACACGGCACCGTATCAGACCGTCTGAATTGTCTGTTACCGAACCCTCAACACCTGCTAAACTATCAACACCTTTTCCTCCATCTCACCCTCCTGCCTCCTCTCCACCCTCACCTCACCTCGTCCCTCCGCGCCGTCCAGCTCCCGCTACGCTACTGTCTGCCTCTACACCGCCTCTCGCTTGCAAAGTTTTTGACCGACAATAACAACCCCAAGTTAAGGGACGATAATTTGAGACACAATGGCCGACAAGGAATATACGTACTCCGATGTCTCAGAGCATGCTACTAAGAAGGATCTCTTCGTTGTTATTCATGACAAGGTCTACAATGCGTCGAGCTTCATTGACGAGCATCCGTACGTGGTGACAACTGCCTGGCCCCCCCTTCGCTCCATAAATTCTCCCGGAAGCCCCATTGTGGGGTGGATACCCAACGCTGCTTCCCAATTCCCTTGCCACCTATTCGTTGTGTGAGTTGCTGTACTAGCCGCTAACTCCGATGCAGTGGCGGTGAAGAAGTGTTGCTCGACGTAGGCGGCCAGGACGCAACCGAAGCCTTCGAAGACGTGGGCCACAGCGACGAAGCCCGTGAGATCCTCGACGGCCTACTCGTCGGCAAACTGAAGCGCAAGGTACATGCGAGTTCTCCATCTCTAACTGCATCTCCATCTCCATCCTCATCCCCGCTCTCACAATCCTCATCCGTCTCCCGTTATCACTCTCACCCTCGGCTTGCTCACCTCCGACGCTGCTCCGCCCAATCGGCCGAGGGCCCAGGAGGATTACATTTGGCCAGCCTCGGAACAATTCCGCTCCCACAGCCAATGCCGCAGGACCGTACATAATTGTCTCGTCTAATACATTGGAGTGCTTACTGACTGTGAGAATATAGGAGGGTGACCCTAAGCCAAAGACATACGAGTCTGGAGGCTCGACTGTTACAACGAGCGACTCGGCCTCCATGGGTATTGGTGTCTATGCTATCATCCTCATCGGCGGTGTGCTTGCTTTCGGCGCGTACAAGTATCTGCAATCACAGCAGGAGAGCCAGTGAGCGCTGCGACTGTGGGGCAATGATGCGATGTGTAACGGTGTCTGGTCTGTATCAGCCACCATAGGTCAGAGGAAGAGGGGCGAGCAGGGAAGCAGGAGGGACAAGCTCAGCACGACAACGTCTTCTCCTGAACTTTGTTACCTTTTCTCGATATCAGGGCTTGCAAAAGGAGATGATGTCTGTGCAGGTTTGTTGCGTGTAGTGTACATGGTGATGACAAGCACGTAATTCGTCTGTGGTTAAGGGTGAGGTGGCGGATGCAGATTTTCTCCCCCCTGCCCGTCTCCCATTTTGATCCTTCTTTTCAGCTTCGCGGGGCATTTGGATTTGACGGTTATCTACATTTATCTAAACATCATGGCAGGCCTGTCACTCTCCCCGGCGTCCGGCCATATGCGGTCGTTGCCTTGTTACCGATCCCATAATAGACCAATATTTTTCTCCGTCCCTTGGTCAGCTATGTGAGATGCTCGTTGCTTCAGTTCTCCTTGTTTTAAGGTTGTGCGTTATGACTTGGAATTGACCTTGGGGACCCATACACTTTCTGTTTCGTAGCCCTTTGGAGATGGGGTTTCTGACTAATCTGAGATCTTTACGATTCGGCAGGCAAGTAGGCAGACACGGCACAAGAGCGTCTGATCTAGAATAAAGAGGGTATCATATTTCACATTCACATTCACTCTACCGCACATCTACATCACATCTTCCTAAACACATTCCCGCTCGCACTCCGTCTATCCTTCCGGTTATGTCTTTGCCCCTGCCCAGAAGCCGCGTCCTCTCCCCCAACCGACCTCTTAGTTTTCTTCGCTGGCACAAACGTAATCTCTCGTTCCCCAACCACAGTCGTGTTACTGCTCCCCGAAGCCGGTTTCTTGTCCTTGAGTTTTGAGACACGAGATCCGAATGTTGCATCCTGCCTGCGCTGAGGCTTACGGGTTGACGAAGAGACGCGCATTTGCGGGGCCGGCGCGCGGGTGTTTGCGTTTGTGTGGGAGTGTGGGTGTTGGGGTCTGTGTCCGGATTTCTTGTAGTTGGAGGAGGAGATGCGGGAGGGGTCTTGCACTTGCGCTGTTGCTGATAGAGGCTGTTTTCTTGCAGGTGTTTTAGCCCGCTCGGTGGCACTTTCAGCGGAAGAGTCGTCTTCGGAACTCGAGTCCTTTGGATCGTCCAACGCCTCCTGCTCAACGGCCGTAAGGCCTTTTGGAATGTGGAGCTTTGTGCTTGGGTTGATGGCCTGGAATTCGTGTGATGCTTCGTCGACCTCGAAGTCTTCGTCCTGGAAGAGGCGCGCGAACCGAGGGTCGTTGAGGACGCCCCCCGTCGATCTAGTGGCTTCCTTTCCTTCTGGTTCTGCATCTCCTTCGACGCCAGCCTCGCCAACAGCCGGCGCATGCTCGCTCTCAAGCATATCGTCATCCCCCCCTCTCTCCAATACTCGCCTCGCCCTCCTTCTCTCATTCTTCTCCTCCCGCTCCAGCATTTTCTCCGCAAGCCTCCTATTAACCTTAACCTTGACACTTTTATTCCCACGGATCCTACTTTCCCTTTCTTTCGCGATTTTCTCCTGTATGCTTTTCGCTCGCTGCTCGTGCCACAGATCCGGATTCGATATCAACCTCGCCTCCTCGTACAATTTCTGCGCAACAAAATACCCATGCATATACGGCCTTAGAAGGCTCGTCGTGCCCACTAGATGATCCAGATTTAATTGGCGGAGTTGTGGTGCGGTTAGGAATTTGAAGTTGTCATAGACTTCACCCACAGTAGAAGCTGCCCCCCCACCAAAGGCATTGGGGTCGTCGGGGCTCTCTGCCATTTCCTCAACAATGTTGTCCAGGAAGGCGCACCATTTTGGCGCGGGGCCTAGCTGTGGGATGAAGAATGCATGTTGGGATTTCCCTTCGTTGGCGGTCAGCAGCATGCCGCTGTCGCGACACCATTCTACGTGATTGAGGTCGACAGCTGGTTCGACGGATGTCCAGGGCGTGCCGGTGGAAGGGTCCCAGATCTTGATGATGCGTTTGTCGGAGGTGAGTATTTTGGGGGTGGACGTTTGCGCGCGGGAGGAAGTGCCAGAGTTTAGGTAGATGATGTTTTTGATGGGGAAACCATAGCCTTGGTCTCTCTTCAGTAGCGGGACTGGAGATCGTAAATCATAGAGGTGGACAAGGCCATTAGAGTTTCCTGTGGCGAGTTCGAGTCCCGAGCGGTGGAATTGCAGGGCAGTGATTTCGGAGCGGCCGTCTATGACGTTGTGGGGTGCGGATAGGATCCCAACGCGGTTTCGAGATCGCGCGTCCCAAAATTCTACGTTGCCGAGGGAGGTCCCGAAGGCTAGGAGGTTGTGGCTGGCTTCTGCTATTGAGCCCGTATTTACGCTGCCTGTACTGATTCCGCCCTGGAGCGCGCCGACGCTAGTGGTCAAGAGGTCGTCGCTGCCCACGTCGACTTCGTATGCTTTCATGAAGCGGCCAACCTCCAAGTTGAGACGGAAGACTTCTCCGCATCCGTCGCCGTTGACACCGACTGCTGGGACAAGCGCCTCGGCGGAATGCCTGTCGTATATGAGGTCCCTTCCATAGCGGGGAATGCGGGTAGAATAGTGCAGTCCGCCAGCGGTGTGGAATTCGAGAAAGCGGTCGGCCTGGAGATGGAGGGATTTGGTGTAGTCAGACGAAAGCAGAAGGAACGTCTCGTTCAAGCAATTGGTATGACGGGCAAAGGAAAGGGACAGGTGAGGCAGATAATGGGTGTGGATTTGCGGCTTGTAGGTGCCTGGACAGGTTAGAAACAATTTTTACAGTTTGGGTCTGAATAAGCTCGCCTGTGCTCATCACCCAGTCGCCGTCATCGCTCACGCGCACACAGGAGCTGGCCTCCTCAAACTCAAAGTCCTGGAGGAGCTCGACGCGGTTGGCGAATTCGGGATCTTGCTTGAGGCTTCGCTTCCGTTTCCGAATCAGCCAGTCCGGAAGTGGACGGGCGGTGTTCGAGCCGGAGATGGTGTAGACGGGCACTGCCGCGTGGTTGGAAATCTTCATCGTGGCGGCGACATGGGGCACATTTGGAAATGCGTTGATGAAGTGAAAAGTGAAAAGTGAAAAGTGAAATTTTGAATAAAAGTTTCTCTGGGGCCGGGTCGGGTAGGGCTGAGATGAATTGTCGACACCGCCCCCGAACCGCCGACTGCCGACCACCACGCGTGGGCTGCCTGCTCTGCTTTCGCCTGCACCGCTCCACAACACCTCAGGCTTCGACCCTGTGCCTGGAACGCACCTTCCCGCCGCGTTCTCGCCCACACCACGGCGCCGTACATTTATCGCGCCCGGCACCCAACCCGCGAGGCTGTTCCCTGTCCCTGGGCTGCGCTTGGGCTCCCGAGCCACCCTCCCCCCCCCCATCTGCCGTCGGGTTGAGCAGGTTGAACAATATGCTCCAACGGCGACCCTCCTCCTCCACCACCTCCCCATCCTGCCATGCGTCCTTCATAAACACGCCCACGACGTCGCCGGCCCTTGCCATCCCGCGCATCGTCCCCTAGCTTCGCTCGTCGCGTCGCGCACCAGAAAGAGCGCGGTTGATGAAGATTCACAGCGCAGTGTCCGGCGTGCATTTTCGACGACAGTACCACTTGAGCGTTCCATAGAGTGGACCCTCCTCTGGAATGGAATTTCTCAAGACCTGCATAACGAATGCGCAAGCTATCGTACGTTCTCGCCCCCTCCCGTCCCGGTCGCGCCTGCATTCTACGCGCTGCATCCTGCTAACAACGTCCGTCAGGGAGACTTCGAGGCAGTCGCATTTCAAGCCTTTTCAGTTACCCGAAATACAGATGCCTCGCCGAGCCTAGTCGATAGAAGCCCGGCTGAGGACTTGCATGCGGTCGAGGCAGAGTTCAGGCAGGGTCAGCATTTGGTCGTTCAAGATGCATCCAAATCGCTGCTGTGGTTCTTCCGCGCCACTACCGCCGACAAGGCCGGCCAAACGCCCCTCGCTCTTCCTGTCCTACCAGGATACGACTTCCAAGGTGGGCAGTACCCCCCATCTACGCTTTCCCTAACTAATCATCCCTCAGCGGAGCAATCGGGTGTGATGAAAGCTTCCGAGCTAGCCCGCCCTCCCATGCGCAACGTCACTTCAAGCACCCCTTCTTCGAATTCTCCATTAACTCCAGGCGCGCTGAAAGGGCCGGGCTTTCTGGGCGGAAATGGGCGTGGAGCTCAGGGCACCCCCCAGGCTGCCCAGCCGTTGGACCAGCAGCTGCAACATGATAGTTATGCTATTTATGAGCTGTTCACGTCTTCTGTCGTTGCTTTGATATCTTTCTATATGGTGAGGGATCACAAGGCGATCGCTCTGAATTATAGAACATTGCTATCGATGCCCGCAGCCCAGCAAGACCCTGATCAAGACCCATCTAACTCTTCAGGCATGCCCTTCTGCCTAACTAACGTCAACGTGTACTGGACGAGTTCAGGCACGCTCGTTATATCTATCTTCTCCGTGTCGAAGGCTGAAATTCACCGTTTGGATGGAATCAATTCCGAAGAGGCGCAGAAGCAGTTTGTTGGGAGATGCGTGCGTGTGGCCCCCAATGGTCTCCTGGCCAAAATTGTCGGCTTTGAGAGCTTTCCAGATGTTGCCGCGGAAGATGTCAGCCAACGAGGGCAACGGAAGCGCGTCAGAATTGGTCCGGTGGAGCAAAGCATTGAACGGTGGAAGTCCTTGGTCACGCGCTGGTTGAAATGGAAGGGTTATTCAATACCAGACTTGGAGGAAAAGACGTCATGGGTGAAAATCCGCATCGCACGTTCAAATCAATTCGCAGCGTCGAGTCCCGCTCCCGGAGGACAAGCAAGAGAGGTGTTATGGCCACGAGCGCTTTGCTTCTTCTATGACGAGCTGTCCAGTGCTGGAGATGTCCCGGATACCGCCCGGATACCGCAGAAAGACACCACCCTTGATTGGTATGAAACAAATTATTCAAGCGGCTTTCGAGATCCAATAGACGTTGCTCAACAATGGTTCATGGGCAAACCGGAAAGGGACAAAGCTCTCGAAGCTCGTCGCAAAGCTCAAAAGGCCGAAGAAGAGGCTGCCCAACTAAAAGGTGACAGTCATGGCCTGCTTCCCTCATCACCTTTGAATTCTCGAACGGGTACATATGGCGACTTACAGGCCGTTAGCGGCGTGTACCCGACACCCCCAGACGGTGTGGCTCCTGGTGTAGGAATGCCAAGCAGCGATAATGCTGCTATTCCAGGAGCTGCTCCCAATACTATCCTAGTTCCCAGCGGTAGCAATCCAGCTATAAACCTCTCCGGTCCACACGACCATATCCCCACAGATACACAGCAGCTTCCTGTGGCCTCACCCGAGCTCCCGCTACCGTTCGACCCGTTTAGTTCTACGCTTCACGGCGGAAACGATGATCTTTTCGAAGATTTGGACGAGGATGGGTTTGGTGGCAACGACATTACAGATGCCGACTTCAATTTCTTTGACGAGCCGGATGAGAATGAAGACGTGGATATGTTGGGTAGCTCGGCAGCGCCGGATAGCAAACCCCCATCCCAAGAGAAGGCCGGAAAGGACCCCGAAACATCGTCTTTGCCCGATGCCGACATTAAAGAGGAAATGTCGGATCCAATGACTGCGCTCGATGATGCTCTTGCCGCAGCGCCCCGTCCTTCCAATCAGCCCAACAGCCAAGTGAAAATCGAAACGCAGGCCGATGAACAAGCCCCCCAACCCGGGGCCCAAGCTGAGCAACCCATTTCACAACCTACGCAATCTACCGACCCTTCTATCATATCAGTGAAACTCGAACCCAGCCCTCCACTCAGTCCGCATCTTGTTCAGCAAAAACTACTGCCGTCTCCCAAGGAGAAACTTAGATTCCAGACTCCGAAACAACAAATCACTAGTCGGCATAGGGACAGTATCTTCGACCCAGTAAGTTTCAATCGCAAGATGAGTCTCTCAGATGCGAAATACCACGAGGGCCGGTTCAGCTTCCCTCTCAGAAAGCCCAAAGAAACCAGTGTTTCGAAAGAGCCAACAAAACGTCCTGCTAGCCTTAGGGAACTCCCATTGCTCACCAAACTTCGCCATGCCATTGGCATGGCCTCGGCGAAAAGCATTGTGGAACTGAAGACGGTAGTCCTGGATGAAAGTGATCTCTCAGACTCGTCGAGTGAGACGCCATCCACGCCCGAAGATGAGCCCGAGGATATGGTTTCTACTGCGCCTGAGCCACTATCCGCCGGTCTCTATTTTCCAGGGAAGAGAAAATTACCCACGGATGGGGATGCCACTCCCATGTCAGCCACTTCATTTGCCGAGTCATTTGGGGGAGATATGCAGGATATTGCTAGCCTCCAAACCGATGAGAGCTGTTTGGCGTGGTTCGAACCGAATCCCTCAGACTGGTGCCTAGCATACGTACCGGCTCCAGCTGAGTTGCCGCTGGCAGTCGCCCGCAATGATGTCCCTGCGTTCTCTCCTATAATTCCCTCCATGCCAGATACGCCCACATCTCAGCCTGATTTACAAGCCGACTTTCCCGACGAGAAGCCACTGAGCCCTAAGGATAGCATAGCCGTGGCTCAGATAGTCACCGATCAGATTGTTTCAGCCACGCTGGATATTCTTCATGAGGGGAGTTCCACCGACACTACACCCCACCTCGATCGAACTTGTTCAGAAACGAAAGCAACCGCTGTTGTCAAGACCATTTTCCCCAAAGCTGCCGATTGCAATGTCCTGAGTCTGGCATCTGTCCAGGATGTCTTCCCTGATCTTCCGCAGCAATCTAAGGGGCAGCCAAGACCTGCACCACGCAGAATGAATGCGCAGACAGATGGATCAGCGTCACCAGGCCATCTCATCTACCAAATACCCTCTCCTCATATAAGAGTCCGCCGCGCTGATACCCTATGGGACCTTCTGCCTCCAGCTCTTTCATTTTGGGAACCTCTGGGGCTGGCTCCATGCAATCCGGCCAAGAACGTTGTTGCTTTCTGCATTTATCCCCAAAGCCATTCCTTAACATCCTGTCTGGAGAGCTTCCTCGTCAACATTCAGATTGCATACGAAAGCTGCAAGTTTGGGAATCATACCAGGATCCAAACAGTACCGGAGTATGAGGGGGGACTTGTGCCTTGCACAATCAACGGACCAACATCAGCGCGCGCTGCTTTCAGAGTCCTACGTGAGACATGCACCCAGCTTGGAAAACTTCTTGCCGTCAAGCATGCACAGATGAGAGAGAAGGGGCATCAAAAGATTAATGCTTTCGTCATCTACATGATAGACCCTTTCGAGAGCCCATCCGCTTTGTGGGAGCTCTGCTCTGCCTTTTGGTCCTTATTCCAAGCATATGGCCAAGTCTCAGCTAGTAGACCTGGATCTGAGCTTCCGCCAAAGCCCGATCTCGTTCTCCAAATCATTCCGATTAAGTACATTGCATCCTTCGATGTACCAGTTGTCCTGGATTCCAGTACATACACCAGCCTTGCGCGCGAGGTTTACGACCGCTGTCCGCCAAGCGCCCCCAGCGAAGACAAGACTCCCCTCACCATCTACACGGCCCCGTCCTTCCAGCTCGAAGAAGCTATACCCCGAACCATTCCCTTCAAGTTGAATGCTGAGCCGCCACAAGATCTTCTCCGCGAGAACTCGTATATTCATCTTGGATATGCCATCAGTCTCGACGGGACCTGGATCACAGCTGCATGGACCGACAGCTGTGGGAAATCGCAAGCCGTGGTCTCATACAACCTCGGCACACGTGTGTTCGGCGAAATCGCAAAGGAAATATGGCAAACGACTGTTGAGATCTTGCAGGCAAGGAGAGTGACGTGGCGTGTCTGCATCGCCAAAGCAGGAGTTATGGAAAGAGAAGAACTAGAGACTTGGGTGTTTTTGGCCTCGTGTCCTACGCAACTAAATCTGTTTATAACATTACTGACTGTGGATACGAAGCCTCCGCTGAGGTTTACACCCACGATACCGACGCCCAATTCTTTGACTAGTAACGCGAATTCAGCAACGGCACAACATCTTAGCTCAAACACACCTGGATCCACACCACAAGCCGCCGGGGGTCTCTCTCCCGATCACCCCGGCCTCACGCCCGCAGCTACACCATCGGACTCTACAAACGACCCATCTAACGACCCGGAAGCGCGCCTCATCAACGTGACGGACGAAAGCTGGGGTGTTATCCTCAGCCACCGCCTACATAACTCCAATTCTACAGTCGAATTCCGCCCATGTCTTATCAGCGGACTACTCGTCAAACGAGGGGAGACGTACTCCACATCCAGAAGAACTACACAGGGAGGGGAGATCCCGGACCCGGAACGCGGGCCGATTGTTGTGGGCGTTAATATTCTCTGGGTCGGCGCTGTCGGTAGTACACGCGCTGCGCAGTCCCCGTTTCCGCCTAGCGCTAGTGGCGCCGAGGGCGTAAGTCCTGGTGGCACTAACCTCACATCCAACACCTCTAACCCTCATCTTAACTCCAATCCACCGAATACCTCTGGAGCAGGCATACCTGAGAGGAGTAGTACGAGTTTAATGTGGACGCCTACGGCACAGAGTCGCGCTACGGCCGAGAATCTGCTGAAGGAAGTGTTGGCACAGTTTCGGGCGTTGGGGCTGTTGGCCAGATTGAAGGGAATGAGGGGCACGAGGGGAGGGACCGTGCCGTGGCATGTGGGGGCTGCGATGAGGGGCGTGGGGGGCGTAGTAAAGTGCTTGCAGTAGTTTGGGGAGTAGTAGATGGGAGTAAAGGAGTTTTTGGCTTGGAATTGGAATTGTTTAGATTAAAGCTTGGGGTTCAGGATTGGGATTAGGTGTTTTGGTTTCTGTTTTTGGGATTGATCTGGGTTGGATTTGAACCGGTGTTTGGATATGCTATGGTATGGTGCGGAATTGCATGACATGACGTGAAATGGAAGCATGGCGTTCGATAACCGTCGTGGGACGTTTCTGAGCTGAGCGTTCCGTTCTGTGTTCTGTGTATTGCGTAGCACGGAGAGAATCAAGACGAGGTTGCCTAGTCATACCAGCCTCTATTGTCGTATCAATGCTCGCAGTACCACGCACGCCTGGCAATCTTTGGATTTGACGCCATAAAAAAGCGAGTTCAGATTGTCATCTACAATACTGCACCCTCTGTTTTGACATTACACCCTGCATTACTTACCAAATCACTCACTCAAATCCCTCCCTAGAAGTCATTACAATCTAAACACAACTACTATCTCATCTCATCTCATCCCTCAATACCCAAATGATCTACAACCTCCTTCTTCCCCTTAATCTGCCGTGCCTGCTGTCTCTGCTGTCCTTGCTCCAGCTCTCGCACTTTCTGCTTTCGAGTGCCTTCGACAGCAGAGCCTTGGGCGTAGGCTTGGCCGTGTCCTACGAAAGAGCCGTTTGCAACACCTAGGAATAAAATCAGCCTCTTCAGACCGCTGCGGCAGGGGGGTTGGACAGGGGAGAAGAACGAGGGAGAAAAGCGAATGTTAAGTTTTGGGGGATGGGAGCTTTGGGGAGGGAAGAGCGTTTTGGGGATGGAGTAGGGTTTTTTTTAAGTACGGGGGACCATGTTTACCGTTCTCGTATCTATCTTCCACGCTCTCTGATGATCCGTCGGCGTTTTGGTGTGTGGTTTTCTTGGATTTCGAAGAGAAGGCACCGGAGAGAGCGCCGAATATGTTGAGGTTTAGACCGGCCTAGAATCATCGAGTTAGGAGGCTGTGGGAACGATCATATTGGATATGTGGCTGATAGGGTTTACAAAGTGGGGGCAAGAGGGAGTAGAAGAAGGTGCAAGAAGTTTGAAGGTTTATGTCGAGAGGAGAAAAGAATGATGGGATAGCACCGAAAACTCGAAGATGGATTCATGACCTCAGAGTTTGCTAGAATGATAATGCACGTTGTCTAAGAATGGAAATAGGGGAATATGGGATTGGGAAACCCGAAAAATTAATCTCCCATACCGAAGCCTGAGCACTGGCATGATGTTCCTGCGTCTCTACCTCTCTCTGATAATGCCGCTGTTGCTGCACCTGCTGCTGCTGTGCTTCATTCTTTGTTAAGGCTCGAGACATTTTGATTCGTTTTTCACAAGACTATTTGCAATGATCTTACGAGTACGATTGCTATCGAGGTTGCATATGGTAGATTGTGAGCGCAAAAGGTACTTCACTTATGTATATAAGCCTGGTGTTGTGGAGGAATAGTGAGCAATGATGTCATTTATGCAGACGACAGGTTTCTGAACCCTTTGGATCGGTGTATGCAGGGCCGATCTTGAACCCTTTAGGCGGTTCGCGGTTTCATCAACCTGCATGCCGACAAGAACGATACCCCGCGCCAAAACGAATAAAAATTCAACACACTTTGCCCGCAACGCCTTCGCAGCTACTCGTAGAAGAAGCTTGGAGGAACAGCAATGCTTACCAGCAGAAGCAGAATCGATATTCGTTCAGTCAGCTCAAGATTGCAATCGTTAGGTGGCTTTGTCTTGCAATATAAATATTTACTGCTCTCCGGTTCCCTTGATGACATAAGGGGCAAAGAAATAGATAAAATTGTCCGTACGTAGGTACAACTGTGTTCGTATACAGGCTGTACGCTTAGCGTACAGCTGCCCACCACCTACCGCGTGCGTAGCCACGCAGAGAAGGGACCCACTACCGGATGCGTAGCCATCCAGAGGAGTGAGCCAACCGACAAAAATACAAGCCTGCACAAAACTATTTCAAACTGGCCTTAAGGAAAGCTATACGCACAGAAGAATGCCCTAAATAAATTATATTTTTATACAGGGCTGTACAGATTGGTCGGCATTTAGAAGAAAGCCATAACATAGGTTGTTGGTTTTGTGTAGTCCACTGTTCTTGGATAAAGTGATTAGAAGACTCTTTGATTTGAAAAAAAATAAATAATTTAAGCCTCTAAAGGAAGGAATGATAGAGGAATGTCTCCCCTATCCGTCTGAAGAAACTGGCCGTCCGGCGAGAAGGCTACAGCCTTGATTTAGTAAGAATGGCATTCAAGCTTGCAGTGGTAAGACCTCGTCGCTGCCTCTCATAGCCGTACAGTGCTGTCGCTAGATGCCGAGGCGACCAGCTGGCCGTCCAGTGAGAAAGCAACGGCATTAACTTGGTCAGAATGTCCCTTAAGCGTGCTACGGAAAGAGCCTGTCGTTGCCTCACAGCCGTACAGTGTAGTCGTCAGATGCCGACGCGACTTGCTGGCCATCCGGCCAGAAGACGACAGCGCTAACCAACTTAGAATAGCCTCAAAGAGTGCTACAGCAAGACCTTATCTCAGGTGCTCAGCCGACTATATAGAGAAGCTCGAAGGTTCTGAGTACCCATGGCACTACAATGAAAAGGGAGGCTGCGGAGGATGCCCACGTTCTGTGGGTGAATCTATCATCTGCTGTGAAGAGATGAATGTTGCGTAACCCAGAAACCGTCGGTGGGATACTGGCTGATACAGAAAATTTGAAGTTTAGATTGGAGATGTGTGCTGCAGGCGAAGGAGGTGCGACACGAGGCGAGGCGTTACCCTGCTTGAAGTGATACGACCCATAAAACCTCCTGCCCCAAAGGTAGGGGAAGAATGACTTATCAAAGGACGATTGGGAAGGATTGAGTTGATTGCTCAGCTGGAAATTGCTGCTTGTTTGGCTTCTGGAGCAAGGACTGTGCAATGCTATTGAATAGGCTGCCGCCAAAGCCGACACACCCTCGGTCTCCTTTTAGCTTGCACAATCACTGCAGATCCCCTGGCGCAAGCCAAACTGCTCTTCGCAAAACAAGCCCCAGCACAAAATGGGCTCCAATTTTTCTGTTGAGTACTGTATGTCTGGATCCTTCCACCCCTTCCGACCTCGTGCGTGTGTCCGGTAATTAAGGACATTTCACCTTACGATATTTTCTATGCTGCTGCTTTGAAGACATCCGCTTCCCAACGTCATGCTCTCCGTCATTCTGATGGGTAAACATCACTTCAACGCGACTATACTTACACTGAGCAGGATTCCAATATCAATGAGCAGCTCCTGGGCCACACATGTGCTCGATAACTCTCACAGTGGCAGAGATATTGGAAGACGAGAAGAAAGCTGCAGGAGCCTTTTGGGTAGGTGGGACAGATTAATAGCATGATATAAGTATATTTTACCGTACAGAACTGTTTAGATTTCGATTTTGCTCCACCCACGCGGCGCTTAAATAAAGGAATGCTTGCAAATATGCAAATATGCACCTGGATCTGGATTCCTGTATCCATTATGTATAGTACAGTATGTAAGGCATATATACTGTGTTTTACGCAAAAATCAGCTGTTGGTTAATTATTCGCACCATTTTGGTTGTGATAGCGGAGTGGTGCAGAGCCCCGTCCTTACACAGTACAATAAAGTATGTCATTTCAAAGCCTCGCGGAAATTATCCCAGAAGCCTAAATCATACACATTCTCCACCTCCCGCAAGCTCCATACCCGCTGGAACGAATCCTCCTTCGCGACTGATCGAATCCTGCTCGGCAGATTTTGCGGCGGCTCGCCATTCATCGTACGGACCAGAATATGCCGGCTTTCCAGTGGCCATGTCGTTCGTGGTTCTTCTTCCTCTGGCAGAGTCTCTGGTAGGGTGGGAATCGGTGATGCAGATGCTGATGAAGTTCCCCGTCCATTCTGGTTGTCGGGATGGGTCGGCTTGGGTTGGACACGGTAGATGGATTGCAAGGTATCCTGACGACGTTGTCCGAGGAATACAACGCCATCGTTCATGTCGTCGCGCCAATCGGCCCATTTCCCGCTCTCGTTGGTGGTCATGCCCACCCAGATGAGGTAGATATGGTAGCCGAAGAGTGCGAGTGGAAGCGGCCAGGTGAGGAGAGCAAGGAGCCCAACACCTGAGGCGCGGAGACCGCCTTCCTCGAGGTAGATGCTAGTAAACATGAGAAAGTAGTGGAGTTTCATGTCCAGGTATGTAAGCCAACTCGAAGGATCTGCCGTGGGATCTAGTTCGTATTTATACCAGTGTTCATATGTTTCGTAGTGGTCTTTTGCGAGGGGGGAAATGATCATGTAGGCTAGATAGGCACCGTACGCGAGCAGGGTACCTGTGGAGAGCAGGAGGGCGAGGAACCATCTGTAATTTCCCCGTCCGAGACAGTTGTTTACCCATATACAGTGGTGGTCCATCCGCGCAACACACATCTTGCAGATACTGCAGTGTTTACTCCTCGCGGGCTTGATGAACAGACACGTTTGGCATGGGTTCCCTGGATAATACAGTATCCTGTCATAGGGATAGCATCGCATTTGGGCCGCATGATTTAGCTCAGTAATGTATGCATGATGATTCCTTGTCGCACTTAGGTAGGTGAAGATGTAGGGCAGCGGGAGTATGAGGGGAATGAGTATTTGGTGGTGGAGTGGTAGGCGGGACCATATGACAGGAACGAAGAGGGCAGTGCTACCTGTAAGGAGGCCGAGGAAGAAGATGACGACTACAGGATGCTTCTCGTACATGAGGTAGTGTCCCAAGCGGGAGCTACCACTCGTAATGCGTCCATTAGTGAAGTAGAGGTCAAGGCTGCGGAGGGAGGAGGGGATGTGAATGATGAGTAAACGATGGAGGAAACCAATAGGCGTGGACCTGAAGGCAGGAAGGCGGCCGAAGAAAGCGATGAAGACAAGAAGTGACAGAGTAACAGTGAAGATGGCAATGTTGCGAGCAAAGGCCATTTTATGAGTGGAGCAAAGCCCCGCCTTCATTGACGCTCCCGTGAGGTCCCACCGCCAAGTCCCCGCGTTCCAACGTGCGACCGTGTCACAGGCGCGCCTTGAGTCTTTTCAACTCCGATCAGGCGACACCCCACCACGCCCCTATCACCCTCCTACCACCGCCATGGCCGCGCCAATTGTCTACGACGATGTTGCTGATGGCGCAGACCTCGAGGGGCAATTGTTCGCCGGCAAGAAGTTCTGGGTCGCCCAGCGCTGTCCATTGCGAAACTACTATCTGAATCTCATCAAGAGCAACGGCGGCCAGGTCGTGATGCTAGAAAAGCTGGCCGACTATCTGATTGCAGACCATCTTCGGAAAGACTGTCCTCCAGGCAGCATATCGTACATGTTCCTTGATAAATCAATCAAGAAGGGCGAGCTTGACGACCCGGAGAAGTATCCTGCAGGACCACCGATAGGCAAGGCACGCGACGCGGGTTCGATTAGGCCTTCGAAGGGGGTACGGACGTCGTACACAGCCGAAGACGACAGAGTGCTGTACAGGTGGGTCCAGGACCACTTGAAGCAGGGCGGCTCGGACGCCGGGAATGAGCTATACAAGCAGCTGGAAGCAAGGGTGCGCTTATCGTTCAAATGTCTTTCACATGCATGTCCTGACTATTCCAGAACCCCCGCCATACGTGGCAGTCCTGGCGTGACCGCTATATCAAGCAGCTGCGCGATAGACCTCCGTCAGCATTCAACATTCCTGAGAATGCGCCTCCCTCGCCTCCTTCAGATCAATCGGCTGGACAAATGCCTCCAGACCGAACATCCCCCGAGAAGGGGAAGAAGCCCGCTCAGCGTAAAACCAGAAAGCATCAAGCCAGGAAGGATCAACCTTCTCCCGAGCAAACAACCCTCGCCGACCCAAGCGGAAGAAATCATGACCCCGCCGTTGACGACTTAGAAGCACTGTTTAGCAAGCGGGATTGGGAGGACCTCTATGCCAATGTACATCTCATCAGCAGCGTTACTATCGCAGAATATCTTACCGCTTGGGAGGGTTGGGCAGGTGGAACCACGCAGACTGCTGACCAATGGAAGCAATACTTTGAGAAGGTGGTGCTTCCACAGTGGAAGCAAGATCCAGAATGGAAGCGAGAAAAGATTAAAAACGAATTCATCGAGAGGCAGGCAAGGGAGAGCAAAGAGAAAGGAGAAGAGGCAGAGGCAGAGGCAGAAATGTCGGGTCCGTCGACATCTCAAGCCGGCAGCTCGAAAGCAGTCCTAGAACAAGGTGAAGCTAGTTCGGAAGATGCTCTTATTGAGAAATTCCTCAAAACCCGGAAAGGGAAGGCCGTCGCCACCGCATATCAATTCTTCGCGAGAGAGAGGAAATGGGTTGTGTGGGAGGATAAACCAGGACTTGATTATGGTCAGTACTATAGAAATAAAAATACATTCACTTCACTTTGCTAACGGTCTCGTCAAGTTGGCCTTCACGAAATTCTACATCCTTGGTACAAAGCGCTCTCAGAAGAAGACAAAGCACCATACCTCACCATGGAAGCTGCTGACCGAAAGCGCTTCGAGATCGAGAATAAACTCTCGCCACAGGTACGATCGTCGTCAACCATACTGCCAGAAACCCCACAGTATCTTGCTAAGGCGTACGAGAAGGCAATGAAACGGATACGTGCTCTTGAGGACGAGCTAGATGAACCTCCAGAGGAGCACAATTCGTCACCTCACCCATCCAAGCGACAAAAGCAGCTGAGCTCCCCGCTTACTAAACGGGGACATCCTAAGCCAGCTCAAGGATTAGGGACACAGATTAAGCCGCTCGAAATCTCTTCGGGCGAAGGCTCTTCGTCTTCTCAGGACATGGAAAACCAGCCCCAACCAAAGGATTACAACACGGAAGACATAATCCAAGCCGAACTTCGGACCCAAGACATCACAGAGGAAGACGAAGAACTTTATGATCCTGATAGACCAACCCCCACTACCGAATGTGATGACGTCCAAATGCCTCCTGACACGCAAGCTCTTAGGCCAGTATTTTCCGACCAATTACCCTCCAACACACCAACACCACGAGCTCCCCGCCACAAACCGGCCGCCTTCAATACCCAGGCCATTCTCTCTTCACCCACCCAAGGACTCTCATTCACCGCTCTCCCAAAACCACAACCTGAATCTCGAAGTCCAAGCCCATCGATACAAGCCTCCCCCCTAACCAGACACGTTAACTCAATATCAGCCTCCCACTCCCTACGCGAATTCCGTCACTCTATCAACTCCACTAGCGAACCCCACTCCCACGCCTTCGCCCCTGTCCCCTGTCCCCGCGAACCCTCAACCGCACCTTCCGAAGCCTCATCAGCAGGGTCCGGAGACCCTGATCCCCCGCTCGATGCGGTCGAAATCGACGAGTTCTTCTCAGAACAGCATGGTGAGGGCTTCACGGATGCCGAAATCGCCGCGGCACTGAAACACACGCGTTGTCGCCCGCTTCTTGCGATGGAGGTCCTGGATGCATGGAAAGACGACAAGCCGTTGCCGGATCGTAGGGGCGTGTGGAGTAAGGAGGATGATGAGAATGTGGAAGGTGGGGATGGGGTTGCCCTGGCAGAGTTGGAGAGGAAGCATACGTGTGATGGATGGGGGGGAATTACGGAGAGGTTGAGGTTTTTGGAACAGGCGAGACGGAAGAGGTAGCTGATGGTTGGGAGAATTGTAGCAAGGGGGAAGAGAGGTTGGTGGTGAATTTCATCGGTCCTCAGCATCCGGTGCTCGGAGGGCTTGGGCTAGGAGTGGAATTATGTGAGTTGTATGCGTGTGTGGTGTATGGGACTTAACCGCCTAAGACGTGCTTTGAAGTGATCACTGTATTCGAAATGATGCGCTTCGAAAAGTAATTCATACTTCGCTACATCCTCCCATCATTTGAAAGTGCTAGACCTGAAAGTCGGACGTTCAGCTCTGCGGCCAACGGGCCTCCTAATACTCGTTTCCCCCATTTTGCATGTTTTCCCGCAATTCGAAAAGGTCTGGGATAGGTGAACTCCATGATATATATATATATTTCTGTAAATGAGTAAGGTCATATCTCCGCTACCCGTTCTTTCCTAGATAGCAGATGTCTCGTCTTCAGCCTCAATCGTTACTTTCTGAGAAATACCATGTTTGTCCCACGTAGCTTCTTGTCCTATAAACAATGCTAGAAAACAAGACACTCTATATCTTCTGCCTGAATGTGGCAGGTGAAAGAAGTTTGCTTGTTCTGCTGTATTTTATTCCTTTCCTAGCGTAAACATGGCCACATAATAGACTCGCACTTGAACCAGGAATTTTATTCCCTTGGTAGCAGTCTCCATTTTTATCACTCGAGTAGCATGGTGTAAAGATAGATTCCTATCCGGCTTATGATATGGTTTATATTATGTGGTAATATTATATATGCATGTTACCGACACCGTATGTGGAAATTCATGCTGTTAGGGGATAAATATGTATATGTCCCTTAGCTAGAAAGGTCCAAGAGATCTATGCATGGAAATAGTGGGATGGGAAGATAATGGTTTTGGAGACGAGCTGATAAGCTAATAAGCTGTTCAGGAGGTCCGATGTAGGGAGAGTTCGCCGGACAAGGGGGATGTGGGGGACGGAGGGGAACTGCTTTAGCTAGAGGGGTAGGGGGAGATGATCATGTTTTAGTGAGAGATATTAGCAACTGAAAGGGAACGGGTAGAAGGGGTGTGGCTTAAAGTATGACTTTCACTTCATTGACATGGTATTGTTGCTGTTTCTCGCGAGTGCCTTTTAGGTAGTAACTTCTAGCGGTTACAGTTTGACTGTCCTCTGTTAAACCATTTCTGAATCATCTTGCTAACTGATTGCATAATCTTCTGCAAATTTCTCTATTCTCTTGTAGCTACTGGATTCTAGTTGATAGTAAGAGAGGCTGAGGATAGGCTATCAGCATGATAAACCAACTAAGAGCCCTACCCAGAGACTGAATTTTCTCGACAAGGTAGGCACATGTAGAACATATGCAAACCCTACCTGTATACTTTTGCCCTCCCTGCCACATAATCACACGAGGTGAGGGGTTTAAAACAAATTCCCAGAACACTACGGACGATTTCAAACACCGCCTCCTTCCCGCCGCTAGGATCTAGGGAACACTCTTGGCTCTCCTCCGAATGCGCCACGTATGCGATATAACTCTCCGCCCACTGCGCCACATCCCTATCGTTTCAATCGAAAACCTCCTCCTTCCTTTTCATCGGTTGTGCACAATCCGGTGCCGCCTCCTGCGCTTCAGTCGCCATTTGGTCACGCCAACAACCTGAAACACTACGCGCGACTTTCATATAGCTTCATGCGCTGTGCATCAGAGGGTCTCCACGTGGCCGCATCTTGAGCATAATTAGCCCTTACGTAGGAGGGGACCGTCGTCTGGATTGTCTCGCATGATTTCGAGTGAGTATTGGACACAGTTGAGACAAAAGGTGAGTTCGAGGTCAGCAATGTTATTCACGAAATTGGTGCCGCATTTCTGTCCTGTTAGGGCACATGGATGCGGAGAAACGGATGCGACTGATGGTTATGTCGGCGGCGGACCAGATCTCGTTGGCGCGTATGGAGTTGCTAGATCGGTGCTGTTAGTTCCCGGAATTTTTTTACTTAGGTCAGTTCCTCGATAATAGATATCAAACCCGTCCTTGTTGGCTTTTTTATCTCGCCAAATACGGTGTCGGCAAGGGCGGAAAGTATGCCGCCGATGTCCAGGTTGCTGAAACAGCTCGTCTACGTTCGGAGTGGCTTGAGGAGCGCTTCTTGAGTCTTTGAGGTGAAGAAATCGGTGCTTGAGTCTTGGGCAGTTTTAATTGGAGCGAGGGGTCGAGCCTCGTATCTTGATTAGTATATTAGTCTAACTAACCCTCGAGACAGAGTATCCTAAAGCGGTCTTATTAAACCTACTATGTGTGCTATAGCCCTCAACATATGTATCACCTCCTGTATCTCTTCTCAAAAACAATCCAAATCCCTTGCCAAAATCATAGAGTTATAATTCAGGCCTTTCCCGAGTCTTCCCGTTGGATATGGATATGCAAATTATGGTCCCCCGGCATCTTATCGATTTCCTCTTCGGTCCAGTTCTAATGGAAGTCATGACGAAATGAAATACGAATCTTCGGGATTGTGCAGTATGTTCTTTATCCAGCATTGTGATGAGAATTTGGTGTTCGGTGGGCGTATGGGAGATTGGGACTGAAGCTTTCGACTCGGATTGAATTGGTTGGTTTTGAGCATGATATTGTGGGCTTGGCGGTGCACTTCCTTGCGCGTACGGAGAATGCTGGTTTCTATGGAGCGTTTTACAGGATAAATCTGTGATCTCCTACTGGCATCCCCTCATCTAGTTTGCTAGATCTTGGAATATATGTGAGTTGTTAGACTACGAGTGGGAGTAGCTAGCTACTGGATGGATGGATCAGGATCGAACTAGCAAAGAATCATCTGGTAGATTCTGTTGCGAATCTCTGCCGGAATTTCTGGATTGTTGGCCTGCTATCGTGGAGGTGGATTGATTCAGATGTCCGTCAAGGGAACCTTAAAGTGAACCCTGGTCAGGATTCGGATCGATCGTGATGAGGTTCCGATCATGTGTTAATCTAGCCTGCTTTTGTCCATAGTGCAGCATTAGCTCCAGCCACTTACTGTCCCTCACGATCGATTCGTCTGATCTCCGCCTCATTTTTCTAAATATGTAAATTGAAGAGCGTTGCTGCTGTTTCTCAATGCTCATTTGGGTAACGCATTTTCACCTACCCCATATGAAGGATGACCTCAGTTGAATCCATACGTCTATTCCTAGCTCAAATTTGCAATTGGTGATTCCTCCCGCAGAAGACTCCTTCGGTGTTCGCTTTGACGGAACGATTACTTGCCGATTCTACAGCTATATTATCGAATCTTTGTAGAATAATTAATGACAGCCGAAGCCGAAGAAAAGAGATCGAGAGGTCAGAACAGAGAAAAAGTTGGATGTGAAAGAGGCTTGGGTCCCAGCTTCGCCGCGGAGAACCTAACATTGCTTTATCTAAGACTACTAAAGACTATTCCTTACTTAGTATGAGATTGCTTCCGTGTTCAAGCCCTAGCGTTAGTGTTTTGTCATCTGCTCTGTGGAGAACTTGTTAATTCAGATTCGGTGACACGTGCATTATCCCACAAGAGCAAGGGGTATGTTGAAGGGAGTAGCACTGAGATCCAGGCAGAAAACTTCTCCTCCTAAAGATCCTGGCATTGTTCACCTGAGGGCTACGAGACTCATGCCACATGTGGAACGATAAAGATACGAGGGTTCGTGCTGACGTTCCTCATGTTCGATGGAACAGACATCCAGAGCGCCCATGCATAGCCTTCGAGAGCACCCATTCCGATTTTCCTCTTTGAGAAAAAAATAAAAAAAAATAAAGACCCAAGTGGAGGTTATCTGTGTTTTAGTTAGTACTTTTCGTGGCTCCGTGGGCTCTTTCAATATCCTATTCTTTGATGAAATGCATTGCGCCTGGCTGGACAGCGGGCTTACAACAAACGTCACGGGCTATCTGCTGTGGATTGGGCGTGCGGATATGCTGCGGCTATGTATACATGATACCCAAGGTACATACCCACACAATCCTCACCTCCGGCTTCGCTCAGCACCGACCTCAGCTGCCATCATACACCTCTCGGCCGCGGATATGATAACCGAAGGTTGAAATCTTCACAGGACAATTTCAACACCGGAGACGCAAGTTCCAGCCTCAGTGGGTCGCGGGAGGATGCACTGCATGGCAAATTTGTTGGCGCTCAACAAATCAGAAGGCGTAGTGGATCTTGCGATACTGTATTAGTATTGTATTCGCTGCACGTCAGCCAGGAACGAGGCTCAGCTTCACATGTCGTACGTCGGAGGAATTAAGGTTGTCGCGCTGGACGCGCGCTGAGATCATTGCGAGCTGCTGGGCCGATGCAAACCTTGCACAGCTGTTTGTTATGGTGAATAGGCCGATGCTGAGGTTGCGTTGATCCGTCCGAGGTTACGGTTATCTCAGCACAGTCCACTTGTCAGTGAATGTGAAAGTGACATTCATCTGATGGTCGGAGGATAATTGGCGATATGGCGGGATATTGGACTGATAAAATAGAGTGTTGAGCCCCTGGGGCTGCCCCCACGGCTGCAAGCAGCGGTTGAGTGCTGGGGAACAGGCGTTCATCCGGTGGGACTTGCCTCGGCTGGACCTTGTTCGCTACGTCAGAACAACAACACAGATAACGATAAGACACCTCGCGCATTCCACGGGCGAGTACCTGCGGATCCGCAAGTAGGACTGGGACAGCCGCAACGCAGGAAATGCCACGGGAATAGGGGTTTTACATCGTGGATGAGGCTGGATCTGAGAAGTTGGAGTTTCTGCGGATATTGCTCCGGCAATTGCTCCAGTCAATGCAACACGCGACAGTCAGGAGCTTCGGGCAGCCTTCATAACGACACTTCGCACCCAAACGCCCCGACTGCCACGGCGCTGGAGACGTTTCGAGGAACAGCGGGCCGCGGGGATGGCGAGAGCATTGCGAGACAGCTGAGGGGGGAAATGCGCGCAATCTCATTGGGCCGCAAGCCAGACATGTGCAACACAGGGCTGTTCACGTCAGTGGTGGTTAGGGCTGGAGTGCTGGTCTCTTTGTACTGCGGGGAAAACAGGATGGCCAACCACAAGAATGAGGGGGAACGGCACTGGACTCTGGACTTGGGCCGGACACCTGATGCCACTGAAGCCACCGACTCAACACCTTCTCACTTTATCCACATCCTTCGTTTGGTTGTGAATCTGCTGGTTGTGGTCTGAGCTGTTTGGGCCTCCCCCAGTGCTCCACCCCTCCCACGGCCACTAACCGATATCGCTCGCGGCCCACCTGGGCACTGTTGCTCGCGACCCAGACTTGGCGCCGTCGTCCGCATTGCGTGAGAGGTACGCTTTCCAATTCCCACAGTCTCTTGCTCCTGCCTCAATTTCTTGCTGCGGGTGGTTTCGGAAAGCCTCGCCGCACGGAACACCTGTGGCTGTACCTGTAGATGTTGTCTGAGAAATGTGGCCTCCGTTCCCGACACACACACCCGATCGCTATAACTATGTCGCTGCCGGCTCGCTCCTCGGCCGCGGCCTTCACGCTGTGCCTGGGGAAGCTTGCCAATTCACTAGTGTTTCTGTATCTGGACTGACGAAACCTTGAGCACTAGCTGTAGGACGCCCGCCGATACTTGATTCATAGGTCAAGCTTCCTCCTCCTTGTTCGTTGCTTCTTTCCATTCACGCTCTCTCGTTTGCTCCCCGCCCTGTCCCCGGCTCCAGCCTTCTTCACTGCCCTCCTAACCATCATGTCAGCCACAGTTAAAATGCCCGCCTCCCGCGCCATGGAGAATGCGAAGCAGACCAGCGAGACCGTCCTTTCTGACGCCTCCACTGCTATGAAGTCTGCCGCCGAGAACCCCAAGCAGGCCACCACCGACTTCTTGCACTCGCCCTTCATGCGAGGGGCCCTCCCCTTCGTCAATGGCGGGATAGCGGGCATGACCGCCACGACCGTGATCCAGCCAGTCGACATGATCAAGGTCCGACTACAGCTCGCCGGAGAGGGTGCAAAGACAGGCCCAAAGCCCACACCCGTGTCGGTGGTGAAGGATATTCTAGCCTCGGGGAAAGCTCGAGATCTGTACACTGGCCTGAGTGCGGGTCTGCTCCGGCAAGCAGTCTACACCACGGCGCGCCTGGGTTTCTTCGATACGTTTATGAAGACTCTGTCGGCATCAGCCGAGTCCAAGGGCACCAAAATCGGGTTCAAGGAACGAGCGGGCGCTGGTTTGGCAGCTGGTGGTCTTGCGGCCATGGTCGGAAATCCTGCTGATCTGGCTCTCATCCGAATGCAGTCCGATGGTCTCAAGCCCGCAGCACAGCGTGAAAACTACAAATCCGTTATTGATGCACTAGTCCGGATATCCAAGAATGAGGGCATAACACGACTATGGGCTGGATGTTACCCGACTGTCGTGCGAGCAATGGCTCTCAATTTCGGCCAGCTTGCCTTCTTCTCTGAGGCCAAGAACCAGCTCAAGACCAGCTCGCTATCCCCTCGGACACAGACGCTCACTGCCTCGGCGGTTGCCGGGTTCTTTGCCAGTTTCTTTTCTCTCCCATTCGACTTCGTCAAGACCAGGCTGCAAAAACAGACGAAGCGGCCGGATGGATCATTGCCGTACCGGGGCATGCTTGATTGCTTTAAGAAGGTTGCAAAGGACGAGGGTCTCCTAAGATTTTATAGAGGGTTTGGGACATACTATGTCCGAATTGCCCCGCATGCGTAAGTGCAACAACGAGAAGCATAAAAAAAGAAAAGATGAAGTCAAGGAACTCACAAGACAAACAGAATGATCACCCTCATCGTCGCCGATTATCTCGGGTTTATCACGAAATAAACGAACGTCAATCAACTGGCGCGAGGAGACAGGACGAGAATGTGAAGAGGAAGAAAACAAACACTTCCCTTTCGCAGCTTCACTGCGGCATTTCCAGCAATTCGTGGGCGTTCGGGCATATGGAATGGAATGAAATCTGGCAATTTTTCTTTGGTCGGGACTGGATGGCATGGGACCGCTTAGCTGCGTTCCTAGGAAAGACTCCACGCGCGCCTGTATGTAGGAACGAGAATATGGAAACTTTCTACCTTGAGGAGTGGATGTGGCAATGTGGTGCTGGTTGCGGCCTTGCGCTTGAGAGATTTCGTTAGCGCCTTGGAGTGGGTCCGAGGGTCGGCCTGAAGGTGCTTTTGCCGATAGCACGTGCTCGGTTCATTCACCTCATCTCACTTGCAGAGGTGTGCTACAACATCAAGATCCTGCTCAATTGAGATGAGCGCAGCTTTGTCTTTGGGAAAATAGTAGATTATGCTAAGTCATGTTCCTTAATGTAGAACTTAACAGGGGTAAGTTAGGACATAAGATTGCATCTTAGTAATATTCCCTTTGATTCTAGCAAGAGGTTTAACTAGTCCAGTCTGCACTGCCAATGTTCTATAGAAGACAAGAATATTTTGTTAATGCGGTTCGGCATCAATAGTATGCGTGTCCGCATCTTGAATTAGTGCGGTCCAACAATTCCTCAGGTACTGTAACCCACTTGTCGTCCCCCGAATCAAGTGGTAGACCCTATAGGGGGGTGTCAGCAATTATCTGCTTTCTGAACTTTCCCTCAAAAATGACTAATTGGCCTCCCGCTCCTCTTTTTCCAACAACAGTACTAGCTTCTCTCTAAAGGAAGCGGTCATATTTGACCCCACTGGAGTAACTCTCGCATCCCGTGGGCCCACTAGACCAATCATCAGGCCATTCGATCCTGGGCGGCAAGATCTGATACCCCCAAACCCAACACACTGGTCCTACGTCTTGCTTTCCTGCTTGTGCGTACATCTGATCTATCGTGCGAGAGAGCTCTAGCCATTGTGTCCCAACCCTTACTAATCAGTTAGCACGACTAAATAGATCTATCACATTTCTGCCCTGCTTGTTTCTCAACTTCTTTCCCCTTCAATGCACCGGTACTTTTGAGCAACTATACTCTCATTCTATTCGCACAAAATGGCAGCCGCGACTACCCGCCTCCCTGAAAAGAGATGGCCATGAAAGCGAAAAAAAACCAACACACCCTACTCAAAGACATGCCATCGAACCCACCCCTCACCCTCTTCCCTGCACCCTCCTCCCACGCGCACATGACCATCACCGACTACAACTGTTTCCAAGGTGAGAATTCTATCGCACCGCCCAAAGACCTCCTCTCCACGCTCCCAGCCGGATATTCCGTCCCGTCATCCTAAAATACCACCCGTTCAACGTTTGGAACACGGTATCTCGGACGCTAAAAGACCACGAAGCCGACCTAACCTGGGACGGGGAACTTGAAGTCTTTGTACACATGTCTCCTACAAGCTTTATAATCAGATTACTCCCCCTTCAACCATCAACACGTACTTTCCTGGTCCACACTCTCCGACCTCGAACACCCCCTCCTCCCCTCCATCCGCAATCTCCATCGAAGAAATGGTAGCAGCGCGGAAATCCCGCAAATGGTATATAAGCACATACCGATCTGATCAAACTGCTCCTACTCCGGGGCCTCAGGCTCTAGAAAAGCCCAGTAGTTTTTTGTTTTACACTCTTGAGACTAGAAATACGGAGGGAGATTGACAAGATGGCGAGTCCACCAACTACGCATGCAGTGATAAGGGCGTATCAGGGTATGTTGGGAGAGTGGAGGATTAATTAGAAGCGATTGCTCGTTGGATGTAGATCTACCTATGTACCAACGCACGGTCTCCTAGACCCAAAAAGCGTTTGATGAAGCGGGCGGCCTTCGGTCGGTCGACACGTTATTCTCGCAAACTATTACTCGTCTGGCATGGGATGTCCTCCAAAATAGCGCGAAAGGGACAAGGTCTATGAAAGGTATGCGGGGGCCATAGTCACGCGTGTTTTTCGTGCGTTTTGGTGGTTCTTAGTTAAGCGGTGCGGGTAGATGAGGAGAGGGGCCGAGTAGATAACGGGGACGGAGGAAAGGGTTTATGGGATTTGATGGAGAGTATGGGGTATGTTAGGAGTAGTTTAGGGATTTTCCGTGTAGTGTTGGGCATTTGTATCTTAAGATTGTGTGGAAATGAGGGGCATTTCAAAGAGGGTAGGAAGTGAGAAGATAGTGGAGGGTTGATGGATTAGGGCAGATGAATAGGGGTTGTGTGTGAGAGCAAGATCTTGAGCAGCACTACGTTAATACTCAGCCATATTGGAACAGAATGAGGGTGCAACTTCGCGGATTCATTATGTTACATCGCCGTGCCATGTGTCGAGATGTCTCGAAACGCCGTCTTCTATACCAGCCTAGAAGGGTGCTAGACTATTGAGTCTTCCCATTAGTCACTATACCAAAGAGGTCTGCACATTTGGGTGTACATATATCACAACTCTCGTCTACGGTGCACTCCGTCTCTATACCCCGCCTTTTAGCTATCCATAATGCTCACTATCGTCGAAATCGCTCGGATCCCCTAGATCTACAGCCTCTGCCGTTCTTCGTGGCGACTCTTGCGTAGCAGGAACCGCAACTTCCGATTTCACTCGTCTGGAAGGTCTAACCGCAACGTCGTCTTCCCCGCTTCCTTCTTGTCGATGCCGTCGAGGAGCTGGGTTGTCTTCTAGATCACTGTCTTCAGCATCGTCTTCCTGTGCCTCGGCTTGCTGCATGCGTTTGATTTTGCGGATGAGAACGGCGTCATGGAAGAGGTCGCTTGCAGTGATCATCTATTTAATGATAAGTATAATTCCTTGGACGAATGACTTGTAATAAAAGACTGCACAGGGGAGACCTACCTGACTACAACCCGACACAGGACACTGAACTGCTTTCTCGCCTTGTCCCCTCCCAGGCCCTCCCCCAATTTTTACATTGCTTCGCCGGATGAAGTCCAGAATAGCGTGCTTCTCGAAACTGTGCGGGCACTTTTTGCTACTGACCGGTTCTTGGAACTTCTGGAATGTGATCGGACATCTCGTGCTGATAGTCGCTTTGTCGACAACAAGGTCGTCGTCCTCATCAGCACCGTTCTGGGTTGCTGTGATACCTGGGGCTGGGGATCCACGCTCCGTGAACCAGGTATCGGCGTGAGGCAACGGAGGACCGTTATCGCCGTTCTTAGCGTCATGCACCATGCTCTTGAAGCCGATGTAGTCGTTGTTCTTGGCGTATCGGACTGTGTGAGAAAGGGATAGATAGTTTTCTTTCATTTTCTGCAAGCGATCTGCGAACAGCTCGCTCGGTCCTGTAAGCGCGATCCTCATTCCGCTCAGTGGTGTTGGACCAGGGCTAGGTATCTCCTCATCCTCACCCTCCTCAGTATCATTCATTTCTTCGTCCCCATCTCCATACGTCTGTCTTCTCTGCCTCTGAGTATGATTCTGGCTCTGTTGCGTCTGCTGTTGCGTCACCTGAGTCACATACTCTTGTTCCAACAAGCCCGGAGCATTCGTCCTCATCCACTGAAACCCCTCTTCTATTCTACTCCCCGCCATCTCAGTATCGATGAGATGCCTCATCCCCACCTCCAACTCCTTTGTCATATTCTCCACCTTCGCCTTCAAATCTTCAAGCTCACGTTCCTCACGCTCCTGTTCCTCTTCATACACACCCTCACTATCCCTCTCCCATCTTTGCCGTCGCTTTGCGACCCGCAGCTCACGCTCCCGGAGCATGTCGTTGATGGCACCAGCGCTTTGTGTGATCAATTCTACGGCTTGCTGGTTTTGATTTTTAAGATCTTTGAGCGAGTGCAAGTGGGTGAGGCTCGCGAGCTGGTTCTGGGCGCGGTGGTTGAGCGGGTGCGATGGTTTGCGGTATGTGGGGAGTTGGGTGTTGGGAAGAGCGGCGTTGCATGGGTTCAGTGCGGGAGCTATGGAGGCCCGGCCTGGATTTGGCCGGACAGTGGATTTTCGGTACCGTGACGGCATGGTCGTGGGGTTGTGGGTTGAACTTGTCAAGGCTGATGATACCAGTTGGAGACGCGTTAGGTGGAAAATTAATGGTCCGTGCACGTACCGCGTTTTCGCTGTCACGTGACAGCCTTCCTTATAGACGCGAAGCTTCACGAGTGCGTTCCTGGCTCTTGCCCGAGCCTTGGCATCTTCTTTTGTTACTTACCCAATTTACTGTTTTACTCAGCGATTTGTTACCCGACTCAACCCGACTCAAGCTCTGGCTCAACCGTTACTCACACTGCACACCTGCAGCTCAGAGGAGCAGGTCTCTGCTCAACCTCAACCTAAGTGCTGCTCAGGCCCCTCATCCTCTCCTCGCCTATGCTCAGTACCTTTTTGACCCTCGATATTCTTGGCTAACCGTGCTTTGCCTATGTTTGCCCTCTTTTATGACTCTTGTTAATTATATGCGATACTGCAGCTGAAGCTGGTGACCGAGGCCGTCAACCAGGCCGCAGTGGGAAGTATCCCCCGGGGGGCCTGAGGATCCACAGATGCTTGGTAGGTAGAACTCGCACGGACATAGGGAGCAGTATATCGCTAGGAGGATTTCCCGCCTGTTTTATTCCGCTCTGTATTGTTACCTTCCCATCTATCCTCAATAGATCAGCTGACCTCACTTCGTCTACTTTTACTACTGAAGCCTTCAACCCCACAGGGCCTTTGTGACACCACAAGCCACTTTCACCCGATAGATATCTCCTTGGGTAGCACTCACGGATATACGGGTATGTTGCGGAGATTAGTTAGTGCGTGAGAGCAAGCTACGTTCAAACACTAGAAGATTTTGCCTGCTAACGTGATGTCCTCGGCTAATCCAATTATCGGGAGCGAGGCAGAGCTATTTGGTTTTCTGGTTTAGCTTATTAATTACTAGAAGAGCCTTGCTAGTGGCCGTAACTAGCTGCAGCAAAAGCATGAAGGCAAGAGCAAGAAGCACCGTAGAAAGTCTGAGAGCCACTCGGTCCCGCGAGTTCTAGCGCGATCTAAAGAAGTGAGAGCGCTAGCAGCCCAGGGAGAAGGCTAAAAAGGATGCCCGTTGTCGGGAGGAGCAGTATAAGATGGTTGATATTTGTAGTTGCCGAATTCTCCGAGCCCCACCATCTGCTGTGTAAGTGAAACCACTGTTGCCTACTATAGTCACGTGCTGCCTGTTATGCAGCTTGCTGCTCAGCTCGATTCCCCATCTCCGCGCCTACCAGAAGTTCCACAGTTTATCCTTAACCCGAAAACATAAAGGTGCAGCTAGGTTTTGATGGATAGATAGTAAGGCTGAGGTCAGCCCTCGCCAACTCATGCGTGGATGGCGTGGCAGGGTTTCCCGAATTAGGCACTAACGATTATTCCAACATCAAAAATAGCCTATAATGCATTGAAAACAGGGCATTCGAGCTTCACCGGTTGACAATTTAGATAGGGTGTAGCTTGTCCCATGCCGGAACAGGCGAACGGTTCCAGTCATCACGTCTTCGCTTCGCCCGATCACCCGTTTCTAAGAGCCGTGCAAATGACCTTCAGTCTGTTATGAGGGAGCCTCGCATCAAACTCGGAACCCTTTGCAGGGTATCTCCTCCGACCCAGTATTTATGTAGTTAAATCTTTCAAATCACTTGGAAGCGCTAATCCGGTAAGTAATTAGCCATGTCGAACAGAAGTAGGCTCACTAGAGGCAGTTAAAAGGTAGCGAGTAAGATTATAGAATGTACTTTATCAAATATACGCGGCCAAATTCACTTAAGCTCCAGTTTGGCGCCTCACGGCGTATATGGTCTTCCAAACGTTATTATGGGGTCGTTTAAGCCTTGTCAGTTCGCCTATAACTTCATTCAACTACTCATTACTAAACCAATTGCCTGAAAAGGCCTCTAGAGTGTCCTCTTCAGAATTAGACCTCGGATTTCAGTAAAGCCAGTATCCTCATTGTCCCTACCATCCAATGAATCCCCTGCGTGCTAGCCAATTTTAATGATACCTGCCCAATCTCATGAGCCAAAACATTCTTTGGCTTCAATAATGTCACTCTGAAAGCGATTCCATCAATCTTTGATGATAATACTTACTGTGGAGAATATCTTCTCTGGTTCAGAGCCCATAGGAGTGTTTAAGAAGATATCAAGGTCAATTTGCAGAGCCTGAGCCACGTCTGCTGTTGAATAGGGTTCTACGAAGAAACTTAACGGGTCAACACCCCCAGTAGCATAAGACTCTATTAAATACAATACCAGCTACATACACATGGGTGGTGTCAATTTTTGGTGCAGTATGGAAGCTAATGGGGGATCGGGGACTAGCAGCTCCTCAGTGACAACCCTACATCCTCCCTCTATGTGTGGAAGGTCCCGATTGATCAACCACGGACCAAAAGCCATTTTACTCCTCATAAGGGCTCTGTGACGGTGGATTTTCCTGGGGGCAATAATGGGATCGTTAGTGCGGGGTTCACTATTCCTTAGTGGGGTAATAAGGTAGTCATTTTGCATCTGAATAAGGGTTTCGATAATGCGACAACAGGCTGGCACTGCTAAGAAAGAGTGCTTAAATCAGGTATGATGAAGAATTTAAACTTATTTTTAACGTTACGTGGCATATAAAAGAGATAGGTGCGCAACTAGTGATCGTTACCTTAATTCACGGTCTTGGCACCGAAACCACTACATTAGGACAGGCACTACCCAATGAGGCTTCGGTTTATATCTGAGGCTCTTACCCATGGGCGCGCCCGCCATCCATGGGTGGTGGGTAGCGCGGATGGGCGGCTGCCCACGACCCACCCATGTTCAACGAATTTTCAGCCTTGGGAGCGCAAATCGTACAAGGCGTAATCCTGATGCCAGCGAAGCATCGATGTCGAAGCCTGAGGGATTCTTTTAATCCTATAAGAGAATCGTCCGACCTTATGCTGGTTTGAAAATCTTCCTTGTCACTCAGCACCACTCACAAGTCACCAACATTCTGCAGTCTTTATGTTGCCCTTCCGGGGTCAACACCAAACCCTCCTATTCATTGAAAAAGGCGGTGGATATCATTGGATAAATCCTGATTGGTCAGTGGTTAAAAAGCAATGAGCGGTTGTGAGATTTTGGGAGCTGTGGCTGCAGCGATGCAGCTTATATGCATTGCCACGACTATTGGTCAGTCAATAATTGACTTCCCTGAGAAATTGAGTCAACTATCAAACCGCATAAGATGTTCCATTGAACAACTCCAGTTGCTTCGGAATGCGTTACAGGATATTAAAAAAAACCGGCAGCTTCACACTCGGTTCTTCAGTATCCAGGTGCAAACGATATCCACCAAAGTGACTACGCTCAACAATCTCCTCGAAGATACGTACTCTAAACTTAAACGGCCGAGGGTGAAAAGGCTCGTCTTCATTTTGACCATAAAGAAGGTGGAGAAGCTCATAAACGAGAACTTCGCGGCTCTAGAAAGCGACAAGAGCAATCTATCACTATACATCATGAGCTCCTGTAGGGAAGCTCTAACTTCTCTCCAGAACCCGGCCGAATCACCCATTGTAGTTAGGGACCGTATGCAGAAGGTTGAAACTCCTGAGGACATTACAATGAAGGACGGTATCATGGAGAGCAGTGCTCCATGCCGTTGCTTTTTCAACCATACTGGTGGGCGAAGTAACGCGCAGGATAAAGTTCATGAACTCAGCGTTAACTTTAAGCAGAGCATCCTGCATCCATCATTATGTCAAAGAAGCAAATCCTATCTACCGAGGTACTTGAAGTATTTTCCTTCTCTCCTGAATACATCGTAATCAGGTTTGTACGAGGTGATAACTCTAACTTGATTAGGAGGAAATGAAATTTCAAAGGTCGATACCGAATTCGGGACAAAACACTTCCTCCACACCTCACATAAACGGAGGAAATGAAAAAAAGGAGTCTGGCATCCGATCTAGCGTTAGCCGTAATGTGATACGAAATTCTAGGAATGTCCTCATTGGAGGCACCAACGGTCACAACGTCGACGCCGACGAGAATGAGGTGACCGACACTGATAGAGTGCTACTCGGGACATTCGATTCAAACACAACAACTACATTTGCGGCTTCTACGTCACCAGACCAGATGGATTGGACTTCGAGTTGCTAGCGGTGTAGGGTGAGGGGCTACAGCAGCTCATTTCACCTTTCACCAGGTATAAAACGTCACTACTCTAGGGCTTTTTTGACACGTTTCGAGGTTTCATGGGGTAATGGAGGCAGGAGGTCAAGTCTCAAGGACCGAAAGCATCTTCAACTATGTGGTATTAGTTAAGAGGGTTTCACAGCTGGGTAACTATCATTAGCTATATCGCGATTGGCGTAGCAGTCCACATGTGGAACTTGACTATTTACTCCAAAGTGAAAATTGCATAAAACCGGGTTCATTAACGCCCCTGCTTCTGCAAAAAGACGTGTAGTTTGAAGTCTGTTGTTCAATAGTGAAGCATCCAATGTCAACGCCGAAGCCAGTGGTAGACCGACACATGGCTTTGGAGTCATAAGAATTAAGCACGTTGTTATCCACCCTTCTTACTTCATCTTATAAAGATGTTCACCTATTTGCATGGCTCTCCGGCCGTGCACACCAAAAGCTGCGCTTTCATTTTTATTGTTACGAGCCTTATCTATTTGTCAGTCGCGTAGATTACCTAATGGGGTGCTGTGTTCCATGGCGCCTGATTTCAACCCCGTTCCTCAAGACAGCTAATCCCATCACGGCCGGCCCGCTACCAACGCTTTCGAGAGAGCGAAACATGGCTCTAGAGGTTCGCAAAATTCCAGAAGATGCTTTAGAATCCCTAAGGCCTGTGGGAAATTGGGTTTCCACCCAGGCGCCCTTTCAGAAGTTTGGCGACTACGAGGTCTGCGAGGACAACAAAACCCTAGCCGAGAAGTCTAACGAGTTTCTTGGGAGGTTTGCGCGAGAATTAAAGGTACGCTGTCTCTGATATAGTGACATCACGTAGCTGTCTACTGTCTGCTAATTTCGTCGTTTCTACTAGCCGTCGTCGTCTAGATATCGGATCACCGCGATGCGATTCAATGGGCCTGCCATAATCCCTGTGAAAGAGGGCTCAACAGTTGAACTGATACCGATAAAGAAGCTTTCCGAGAACCCGTCTATCGGGAATGAAGAGTTGAAGACAAATTTGGAAGTCGGCGACTGTGTACACTTAACGGAAGATGTATCGGTGGAGCCTTCCTTCATTGCACTCTTACTGTTGGCAGAATGATGCTAGGATAGTCCAGGCTTGTTTTTAGTATTCTTTGAGCCGAATCCCACTTAGAAGGTTGGGAATGTGTGATGATTGATTTAAAATTGTGCAGTCTTGAGCAAAATATAACTACGTGAAGAGAGACCTAAGGATAAATTGCATTTTACTTTAATGCCAATCGGGCGGCCTAACCATGATCTACCCCAAAAACTCCCTTTGGGACATATAGGCACAAAATATAGTCCATAAACGAAGGAAGAGCCTCTCTCGTTGAATGTGTACAGCTTCGGAATTGCCCCACATATGCTGGAAAGGTATATTGACTGGTATGTGTACAACCTCGGAATCGCCCCAGATATGTTCAGGAGATATATTGACTGGTGCCTGATTGATATCAAGTTGCCAGGCCGTGCCGAAAATTCTCTGCCAAGGTATTCTCTCTGTCTGGTGTGACAATTGCTCCCGCTCCCACTCCCACTGGGCATGTCTGGGATCGACCGGCCATGCTGAATTAAACTGTTGGTTCAGCGGTGCTGTCCTTTGGGGATGCATTACGACGAAGTTTATATGGTTGTCTATGTCTAGATGAATCATTAGCCATTGTTATAACATCCTCCAATGGAAAGGAAACTCGCGCGAGTCGGCTGCCCGGGGTAATGTGAGATACGAAATAAGGACGTTCACGGTACTTATATTGCTGCCCACAATTACGTTTTCACTATCTTGTACCTTATTGTGGTCACAGCTGCTAGTGATGATCCTTGTAGCTTCTGTCTCCGATATCAATACCCCACTTTGTTGACATTGCCAGTCTACTTCCACGTTAGCTATCACACTGCTGCACATAGATAACAAACCGACAACGTACATAGTCCGTCTTGATTTCTTCCCTGCATAACGCCTGGGTTACAAGCGCAGTACACATTTCCATCCCTATACCGGAAATGCCCAAGGTCGATCTCCCGGGTCGGGTCGACAGCCGTAGCCATTGGAAAGCAAGAAACTAGTTCTCAGCAAGGGTGGCAGTGAGTGCTGTCAGACACATCTGCGAACGATCTGGTGGATAGTGAGATATCGGAGTCATGAGCTAGTGGAGTGGTGTTGGTAGTGGCTACGGTTGGTTCTCTGCCCCATTCGGGTCGAAGAGGCAAGGCTGAGGACACACGGAAAGTTGGAAAAATCTTACATAAGACTGTATATAAGCTCTATGAAATGAACAATCGCATGGGAGATACAACCCGGTAGAGCATCGAATGAAGTTCATAGATTTCGTTTTCAGAGAGACCGTATCCAGAAATGTTAATTTCGCAGAGCTGACTTATCATACTTTACACCGCACTACAGGGTGATGATGGTGATTGTTCGGGTCGTAGAATTTGTACCTGCGTCGTTATTCGGCCTGCCTACATTTATTGTGTTGGGGTACGACAATTATTGTGGACACGAAGTGGAACACTGTGCTCTTCGCCTACACTAGAGCAAGTTTTTTGGGATATTGGCATCGTAAATGAGAGGTCAGGGGAACGAGAACTCGTGCTTCAAGAGATCGCCTAAACCCTCGTCAAGCTGAACCGTGTCTTTGTGTCCCTACTCCAGTCGACATACACTTGCCGCCCGGTCCAAAACCACTCGCACACTTGATACCGCAAACTTTCGACTTAACGTCATATAGGTGATGCTGGAACCACCTTAGTCACAAGGAAAGTGTCTCTTGCGAACGTCATAGTATAACGCTGTGCTAAGATTTGCTGACCCCCTCTTCCTCGGATGAAGAAAGCCTAGGATAGAAGCAGTTCCGACCATTCGTACTCAATAGGAACAGACCAGTTCTAGCATGGACACCAAAGGTCACCCGCGAATACAGCTGCACAGCACTATTGTCAACCGTGTATCCCCTCACTACGGACTGTCTACTTCTTTAGACATCGGGTTCTTTTAATCGGATCTCAGGGAGGGAACGTAGGACTCAGGATAGCGGACTGGCCAGCCTGGACTTGACAGTTGCAATGATGAGGATACGGGGGCGCGTCTCAGCTGAAAAGTCAGCGTGGCGTCTAATATCGATAAGAATATGAAACAACCTCACTATGCTCGCACGAGAGAGACTAGGTAATTAGCTCTTGGTAGGCTTAAGCTTCGAACCCCGACCTCCAATTCGCTCGTTAGGAATGGGGTTCGAGAGACATCATGATCGCGGGTGATTCGCTGGCTCCGCTGAGTCAGCTTTGCTAGCTCGAACTTTAGAACAGGGCGGAACTTTAACACCACCTCGTCCCAACCCTCATATGAACAATCGCCAGTCTTTCATGACACTCTTTCTAGCTCATATCACAGAAATCACAAGCATGCAATATAATATCTTATGGGTAACTAAATTGCATCTACCGTCACTAACTCTCAGTTACGGGGAAGAAGGCCGCTTGGGAGGAATTAGTTTTTACTCCTGATTGGCCTCTTCCCTTTCAACGTCCGGGTAGGGAATTCATTAAGGCGTAATTCGGGGGCTTGAGGGGCTGCGAAATGACCATTGAGGAATCCGACACTAGAAAGATGATAACATTTGTTCCCACCGCAAAGTTACTGGTGATGCTGCCGCGCACATGGTTGCATCGTAGGGACCCCGTCGGTCGGTAGGATTGAGTGGATTGAACAGGGATATTAATCACGCATACGAAGAGGTTATTATCCTGCAACTATACGAGGGATTCGGAGCTCTCTAGCTTAACGCCTTCGGCCTCGTAAAAGGACTAACGCCATCTTAAACATCGTATTTTTACTTCGAGGACCGGTTCCACATCTGTCCACATATAAGATGGCAGAACTAGGAGAACGCCTAAACCCGCGGCTCATCACCTGTGTCTGCTTCAAGGCTATCAACAAGGCTGACTGTCAAGGCGCTACGGTCCTACTACGTGATTCATGACATCCTGAGACAAGAGTACGAAAGACGCTACTATTAGGGACCAGGTTGCTCGATACCACACATCATATACCTCTTCCAGATACAGCATTTTCGTGCTATTGAGATTCACTCGAAGCAGGCTTAGTCATATCCTCGAGGTTGATGCGGGCTTAGCTTCGGTATATTGTCCATCTCCTTACCTGCCGAATATACCCAAGCTTTTCGCCTCATCTCCACTTGTGTATGGGCTGTGAAGCCATTCGGCATTTGGAAAGTATCGGGTGCTCTCATGGTTTAGTGGATCGACTCTCGTCCTCGCCACGTGTTTGGCTTTCGAACGACGTTGGGAGGATGGCAATGCGGCACATCATACGCAAGTGAATAAACTTGGCTTTTTTGACTCCAAATAGGTAGTATTATAGACATGGTATAGGCATAAATAATTACAGGCAAAGTTGAGACAGAAACCTCGATAGGAAGGTGAAGGATTACTCCACACTCGTATTTCCGTTCCTTTTAATGGGACAACACGAAATTTAGTATTTTACTTCTCCCCTTGCCAGGGCTCGCCAATCCTCCTGGCACACAGTCCTGAGGGATTTGGAATATTCCCTCGTCTCGGAAGACTGTACTGCCATTGACCAATCAAAAGGAAAGTTTCACTATCAAAACGGAAGGTCTTTTGTTGAAGGATTGCGCCATTGCGCCTACTTTACGAATTCATCATACGTTCACAACTACGCCATATTTTACGAAAGTATATAGAGTAGGCTAGCCCAGTACTGTATAGACACCTTACATCTTCCCTTTCTTGTGACGTCCGCTCTGCAACGATGATGCGAACCCTTCTTTCCATCACCCTCCTATCAGTGGGCGCCATGGCGCAGCCAGTTACATACAACACGGACTTCTCTGGCACCGGTAACGTCTGGGTTATCCACAACATGGACATACAAACCGCTTCTCCCGCCGATAAAGTCGGCTGCCTGAACAAGGAAGGCCGATTCGTTTCCAACAACAGCCAATGCGGCGTTTTCACTGTCACCGGCACGGGTTATGGATGGATGAAATCTAGCTCTGGGGGCGTCTGCACTTTTAACGACCCCACTGCTGAGGAGGGTCGTTGGCCCAGAGCCTTGAAATGCACCTCGCAGGGCCAGTACTTCAGCGACCTGTATTCCGTTGTGAGTATTATCCCTTTTTCTCACTACCAAATTATGCACAAAAAAGACAACGACTGATTCTTGTGAAAGAACTTCACCAACCCGTATATTTTCGTATACAACGGCGATCTGAATCCCTGGTATGAGGCGACTAAAATTCCAGGGCCGGGCGAGTCTGTTGGCGTGAGTAGGTCGTACAAGTATGACTTCCCAGCCAACTTGATCGGGCTCACATTGATATGGAACAAGCTGAGTTAAGTGCGTAAAGGGAGTTCGATTGAGCGTGCTGTTATCGCTCGATTGGTGCTCTTGTGTTGTAACTATTGGGTTGTTCCTGGAGTACACTGGTTCAACCGCTAGATACGTGAAAATAATCTATTGTCATTCTAGCCGAGCACTTGATCCAGGATAATATGTTAAGGTAGACTTGTTAGCTTTACAGCACCTGAAAATGTACCACCCAGTGCAATAGACAGGTGCTTGCTGATTTAGAGAACTCTACAACGTGGACTTTTGATACTGTAGGTGAAAGAAAAACTGCACTAACTCACAAAATAGCGCTAGAGCGATAAATTCTAAAGCTTGTCGCGTGCCTGTATCGTGACAATATTGGGACTGGTCAGTTGATTTTGAAATACTCTACAGAACAGGGTTGGATAGATTCGCCATCGCTCATCCCATGACGAAGAACCCGCCATTGCCAAGGCGCTAGCTAGACGCGGGCCGACGACGAAAGCCTCGTGGCTTCGTACCTGGGGAACAAGGCGGAGACTGTCCTGCTAGGTGATGTTGAAGTTCAACTCATGCTAGATCAAGTAGCGGTACGTCCGTAGAAGCCTTGTGAATGTTGCTTCGGCTGTCGCCTAGTCGATCGGAGCCTTCATCCAAGTACATGTCCCAGGATTTCTAGGACAGGAGATACCGTGGCAGGGGTTTGATGAATATGCGGTTACAGATCTAGACTACGAGTAGATGCAACCGAGACTCTTCTGTGGTGGTAGTTTCGTAACCTTTGACCCGTCGCCAATACAAGAGGGTAGTGTTTGCGCTGGACAAGGTTGTTGCGATCTAGAGGTGCGGCGCCATGGTTTTGAGGTTGTGGAACCAGATTTTTTTTCTTGAGAAAAAGCCTCATGCGGGAGGTGGAATTGTTACGCAAGACTGACTGAAGGTTGGCTAGGCAACAAGGTAACTGGCGATCGTTCTGCAGTGGATTCAAAATTGCAAACAAGCTGATTCCCCTTAAAAAAAATGGCGACATGAAAATATGGGATGATAGAGTAGAAAATATTTACGCGTTCTATGTGATAGAGTTAGGACGTATATATCTTCAAAGCAGCAGGCGCTTAGTGGAGAAGTCATCACCTTGGGCGGCGATGGCCGTTCAGCTCAGCCTTTCTGCGGGCAGACCGGACGGCTATCTCAGCCTTATATGTTCAACCTACCGGCTATCTGCACATCTTCTCATACCAACTCTTGCTTCTATTTCAGACCTCTTGTTTTATCCCTAGCCGACTGTTGAAGAGTGAGCATGGTACGTGATGGGGAGGCACCAAAGGAAGACGCCAAGGCTAATACTAAGCTAAGGTTCGGCCTGTGACGGATGATGATATCGGCCTAAAGGTGCTCCGCGAGGCACCAGCAGACACAACCCAGGCCATTGAGTACGTCCGGATCGCGCTTGGGTGTCTATCTTCATACTAAGCCAGCCTAGCATCGTTGCGATCCATGGCATCGGGGCGCACCCAGATGACAGCTGGTGCAAGAATGTCGGCACTGCGGAGAACCCACAGTGGGTCAATTGGCTCAACGAGGAAGCTATGCTGCCAACCGTAGCACCATATGCGCGCATCATGCGATACGGATACCAGTCTCAGTGGTTTGGGGAAGGTGCGATGCGACAAAAGGCATCGACGGTGGCACGGCGGCTGCTGCTGGCACTACAACGGAAGAGAAAGGTGCAGATCCTGGATATCCAATATATCATCACGGCTGACCTGGCTAGGAATGTCTATTCCGCCCATTGATCTTTGTGGCGCACTGCTTCGGCGGGCTGGTTGTGCTGAAGGTAAGCAATCAAAGTAAAGCTAGCATGTTCCCACAGCTAATGGTCCACGGGCACTCCTAGAAGCGCAGCAGGACGAAAACGGGTGGCCTGGTGTGTTCGTGTCGACTACCGGTTTAATCTTCTTTGGTACTCCTTTTAGAGGCGCGGAAGGGATGACTCAGATGGAGATGCTGGAGGCAGCGCGGATGGAATACCGGGATGACGAGGTACAGCCAGAGGTCCTGAAAATACTTGAGCCAGGCAATGAGTTTCTTCAAGAGGTGGTCGACCAGTTTGGGAAGACGCGGAGGCTGGCAAATATGGCCCAGGTTGCATGCTTCTACGAGCTTAAGTCAAGCAATGTGGGGAAGATTGTAGGAAAGCAGGACCGAACAGTAGGCGATAGAATAGGCCGCGCATTATGCTAAGGCTGACCATTATCACAGCGAGTTGTAGTGAGCGAAAGCTCTGGCTGCCTTGACCTGTCTGATGCGACGAGAAAGTTCTCCCTCTCACGGTCACATTTTAATATGAACAAGTTTAGAAAGCCTACGGAGGAAGACTTCGAGACGGTGGCAGATGTTGTCAAGGATATGATTGTGGTATCCCATAAACTCGTACTAGCTCGGTCTCAATGTAATTATACATCCTAGTAGCCATTAATAGTTGAAGACAGTTAGCTAAATGCAACAGATGACGGGAAGTACAAGATTGAGCTCAGTCTCCGAGGTGTGCCCGTAGTGAGCCGATTCGTCCATCGAGACGCAGAAATGAAGGAGCTTGAGCAACTCCTTCTTGAAACTTCACCCACGGCGAGTCGTCGAAACATCGTCGTTGTCTATGGCCTTGGTGGCATAGGCAAGACGCAGCTAGCGGTCGAGTTCGCGCGGAAGCATCAATGCAGATTCAGCAGCATTTTCTGGCTGGACGGGTCCTCAGAAGCCAGTCTAAAGCAGTCGTTTGTACAACTGGTGCAAAAGCTGCCGCGGGACCAGCTCACGGCAGATATTGTAGAGATGCTGGATCATTCCGTTCTCGATATCGATGTGGTGGTACGCGAGTGTCTCCAGTGGCTATCCGTCCCATCAAACCATGAATGGCTGTTAATATTCGACAACGTTGACCGCGACCCCTACGATAAAGACGACTCGCAAGCATATAATGTGAAAAGCTATTTTCCTCATGCAGATCACGGGTCGATTCTTATAACAAGTAGGCTAGCAAGCCTTCTGCAACACGGGGCAGGAGTCAAGGTTGGGACAGTCGCAGCAGAACAAGCACGTGCCATTCTAGAGAACAATGCTGGAAGGGGAATTGAGGGTGAGTCTGCGATTAAGCTTAGGAACTAAGGATATCTTTGCTGATAGATGCTATATAGGCGCTGACACAGTTCTTCAACGTCTTAATGGCCTTCCACTGGCCCTTACCCAAGCCGGCGCGTATATGCGAGAGACGAATATGTCTGCATCTACCTATGTTAAGCACTATGATAGAACATGGGAGAACCTGATGAAGAAGCAGCAGCGCTTTCCACTGGAGGAGTACGGCGATCGAAATGTGCTGACGACATGGACCGTGTCCTACGAGCAGGTCCGAAAACAAAGCGAGGAGGCTGCGTGGCTGCTCAAGCTCTGGGGATTTCTGGACTGCGGAGAACTTTGGTATGAGCTAGTTGCATCCGCTAAAGATTTAAAAGAAGAAATGGATATTCCAGCATGGTTGCTTAGGATTGCTGAAGACGAGCTGGAATTCGCCGATGCAGTAGGCCTGCTGTCGCGATACTCGCTCGCTGACACTAAAGAAGGCACTAGTAGCCACTCAATGCACTCAGTGTTGCATAAATGGTGCAGCCAGCTGGCCAAAGGTAAGGACCGGTATAGCATTTCTAGCGTTGCTGCAGGTCTGGTTGCATTAAATGTGGCTTCAGAGCACGAGGAGGAGTTCTGGAGGAAGCGGAAACGGATATTAGTCCATGGTGTCATTGTCAGTAAATGGATAGGGAAGATTTCAGTATCTGAGGAATTAAGGTCACTGGGGCCTTTAATACACCCATGGAGGTTTCACAGCCTGGGGGATTTACTGTCAGAAGAAGACAGACCGGAGGCTGAGAAGATGTACCAGCGGGCACTGCGAGGAAAGGAGAAGGCATGGGGATCTGAGCATACATCGACACTCTCTACGGTCA